TCTCTATTCAAAAAATAAATGGCTTAAACTTGCTGTATTCATTCATGTTTCCATTCAAAGGTTTAAGCTCTGCTAGGCCTTACCACGATGATAATCAATCACAGGTGCAGGTGCAGTATGACTGTATATATTTTTTGTAACATCCTGCTATCGGTACTTGGTATTGGCCGATACTCACAGCAAAAGCATCAGAATCCTATCTGGAGAGAAATAATGTATTGGAACATCTCTACTTGAAACCAAAACTTACTTATGAACAGCTGAAAGTACATCTTGCAGTCGTAATGGGTTTAATGAAACGAACAGGCCTAATCTTTCTATCTCCTACAGAAACATTTGATACAGAAGAGACTCTGATTCTCTAAGCATCACCATAAGATGTTTTTTACATCTCAATCTGCTGACATTAAACATTTTATAACTTTATGCTAGTGAAGTTTCTCAGTAATCCAGGTCATTGTCAATCCATAGTCATTTTGAAATATTATTTTTCATGCTCATATGATTTAAAATATTTCAATCACTGTGAAGTAAATACTGTAGTGTGTTAAATTGTTCAAATGTTATAAAAGATCCATTGAGATAAAATTGATATCATTTAGCATGAAATCAATATCAATATTTCACTTACTAAAGTGATCCTGTTGGGTTTTAATAACAGACGACACACTGACCTATCGTTATCTCATCCCATCTATCACTTGCGTGGCCCAATAATTTCCAGAGTAATCTCTGATGCCTGAGAGAAGCACCAGCCTCCACTCTATGAGGATAGAATGGCTTAGACATTGGATGGACAGGTGGTAAAGGTCTCATTTAACAAAAATGGAGAATCAAATATAGTTGAGAATTGCTTGAACTTCATGGGGCATAAATCCACATGTTCTCCTAACAGCGTCACGCACTTCCTTCAGGTATGTCGAAGCAACTAAATAAAGACTGAAATCATTATTTCACTATGTGACATTATCATTTGGGAAATAGCCATCAGAAGATAAGAGCAATAAGGGCATAAAGGGATAGCCATGGTCAACATCAGTGCAGCGGCATTGATAGATTGGCAATCAACTCCTACTGATGGCCCCAAAGCATTTCAAGAAAATATCCAACAGAGTATGACAAAATCACCACCAGTAAGTCATTCAAGTTGCTGACCCTAAAATTGTGGAACTGAAACTTACCACATCATGAAAGGATTTTCCAATCTGTGATAAAATGTTGGTGACTCTGTGTGAGTTGTAGCGTCAGCTTCCTGTTCTCAGCTTTATGGAGAAGCATTCATGGGAACTCCTGCTGTTGAAGCCACTCTGTTTCTAAGTCTGACTTGTTACTCAATTTAGTTTAGTGTATTCATATAGTGCAAATTCAAAACACATGTCAACCCAGGGTACTTTACAGTGCATTTGTGGAAGAGTGCCAGTTATCTTTAATAGAATCAATCTAACTTTTAAGGAAACCCATTAAATCATTATTGCCTAGAGCTGGGAAAATAGACAGTTCAACACGGCTATGCACTGTGTGAGTTTGGCAACTGTTTTAAAAATAAACCTAGGATTGTTCTTATTCTCCTCTGTTAATGAAGAGAATCACACTTGTTTTGTTGTAAAATGGGTCATTTTTTAAATCAGTAAACGGTTGTTGTTTTTTCAGATTAAGTAAGATTCCATCAGTTTGCTGGTGTTTTGCTTCTATGAATGCAGCTCAGTGAGGGTTATGTTGTTTAAAGCAACATTCAGAGAATGTAAACCCTGTCGTTGAAGGGGCCTATAAATTTGTGAAGGGGAATAAATCAAATAACTCCCCTCTGCAATGTGGTTCTTTGATACTTAGAGGAGAAAAAAAAGGAAAAAATATATATATAATATATAACTTTATTATGTGATAATGAAACCTTAATTTGGGTGATTTAAATTTGAAGATTACTAAAAAGTGGTCAGATGGGACAGGGTTGTGAGGAAATACTATTATTTCTTCATAGTCAAAGCCATAAGTCAGCACACGGTCCGAGGGTTGCTGTCCAAAGTCAAAGTATCTCAAACTATAAGGATCTTGTCAGTTTTTTACACTATGTCAGATAGCAGGTCTAAAAACTGATCTAATAAATCAGTTAAGGCCTGAAGGAACAACAGCAAATTAAAAAGAGAAGTGGTTTTGATGAGGGAATCTAAGGGTTAGATGTTTGAAATAATTGTAACTACTGGCCTTGAACTACGCAATTAATTCAGTTCAATTCAGTTTATTTATATAGCGCTAATTCACAACACATGTCATCTCAAGGCACTTTACAGATGATTCAACCAGATCATACAGTCAGATTGGTTTAAAGTTTCTTATCTAAGGAAAACCATTTGATTATATCGACTCATTCACTCAAAGGCAAACCCTCACAGTAAGCATGCTTGTAGTGACAGTGGAGAGGAAAAACTCCCTTTTAACAGGAAGAAACCTCTGACGTGTGCGCAGGTAAATCCCTCCTTTGAATTGAAACGTTTTTCTACAGGTGCTTATAATGTGGCCAGAGTAATTTTTTTATTTTTCATCAGCACATGCATTTTTACACAAACAACTTAATTGTTCTTAATAATAAACTTACTTCAATATTGCATTCGTGTCACTTTAAGGAATCTCTTTTGTTAACCATTAGTGAATTTGATTTTATTTGTAAAGAAGAGTAGATACATTCATTTATAATTGTTTAAACTGTATCAACAATACCCTTTATTTAGGAATAAACAACAGTTTATGTCAAACACAATTTCAGAAAGAAATTAAATCTCTGTATAAAAAGTTCTACAAACCTATAATTATATTGTACAGTATACAATATAATATATATATATATTTTTTTTTTATGTGTGTGTACTCTGCACTTTTGTACTGGTACTATACAAAAAAAAACAAAGGCATTAATTACATTACATTACATGCAAATCATAAAATGTTGATGACTTCTTGGTTTCCTGTCAACATACGGCTGGGCTTGAAAGTTTACATAATCTCCCATAAAAAAAAAAATAAACTGTAACTAGTAATTCAAATAACACAAAACTGAAAAGTAAGAATAAACAAAATGTACTAAATAATAATTTTGTCAGAAGTCTGACTGAAAATTTTCTGAACATTACAGAAAAACACCTGAATTCAGTGATTTTAGCTCAAGAGCTCTATCAGGCTTTTTTAATATATATATATATATATATATATATATATATATATATATATATATATATATATATATATATATATATATATATATATATATATATATATATATATATACACTCACCGGCCACTTTATTAGGTACACCTGTCCAACTGCTCGTTAACACTCAATTTCTAAGCAGCCAATCACATGGCGGGAACTCAGTGCATTTAGGCATGTAGACATGGTCAAGACAATCTCCTGCAGTTCAAAGCGAGCATCAGTATGGGGAAGAAAGGTGATTTGAGTGACTTTGAACGTGGCATGATTGTTGGTGCCAGAAGGGCTGGTCTGAGTATTTCAGAGACTGCTGATCTACTGGGATTTTCACGCACAACCATCTCTAGGGTTTACAGAGAATGGTCCGAAAAAGAAAAAACATCCAGTGAGCGGCAGTTCTGTGGGCGGAAATGCCTTGTTGATGCCAGAGGTCAGAGGAGAATGGCCAGACTGGTTCGAGCGGATAGAAGGGCAACAGTGACTCAAATAACCACCCGTTACAACCAAGGTGGGCAGAAGAGCATCTCTGAACGCACAGTACGTTGAACTTTGAGGCAGATGGGCTACAGCAGCAGAAGACCACACCGGGTGCCACTCCTTTCAATTAAGAACAGGAAACTGAGGCTACAATTTGCACAAGCTCATCGAAATTGGACAATAGAAGATTGGAAAAACGTTGCCTGGTCTGATGAGTCTCGATTTCTGCTGCGACATTCGGATGGTAGGGTCAGAATTTGGCGTCTACAACATGAAAGCATGGATCCATCCTGCCTTGTATCAACGGTTCAGGCTGGTGGTGGTGGTGTCATGGTGTGGGGAATATTTTCTTGGCACTCTTTGGGCCCCTTGGTACCAATTGAGCATCGTTGCAACGCCACAGCCTACCTGAGTATTGTTGCTGACCATGTCCATCCCTTTATGACCACAATGTACCCAAATTCTGATGGCTACTTTCAGCAGGATAATGCGCCATGTCATAAAGCTGGAATCATCTCAGACTGGTTTCTTGAACATGACAATGAGTTCACTGTACTCAAATGGCCTCCACAGTCACCAGATCTCAATCCAATAGAGCATCTTTGGGATGTGGTGGAACGGGAGATTCGCATCATGGAAGTGCAGCCGACAAATCTGCGGCAGCTGTGTGATGCCATCATGTCAATATGGACCAAACTCCCTGAGGAATGCTTCCAGCACCTTGTTGAATCTATGCCACGAAGAATTGAGGCAGTTCTGAAGGCAAAAGGGGGTCCAACCCGTTACTAGCATGGGGTACCTAATAAAGTGACCGGTGAGTATATATATATGTGTGCGTGTGTGTCAAACATAACTTCATATATATATATATATATATATATATATATATATATATATATATTTAATTCATAATTTGTATCAAGATTTTTTTTTTTTTTTTATCATTACTTTTGTCAATTTCAATTTATTTTAATGGCAGCTGATTTCTTTCTGTCCTTAATAGAGTTGTATGTAAACCTTCAAGCACAATTGTAAGACATCCTACAATACAATATAACTGCCTAATATTAAATATTTTTAGTAAAACCTTACCTATACAGACATCTTCTTATATCTCTAGCATTTTTTTTGAAGAATAATATTACTATTTTTTCTTTATCTTCCTTTTTTTCATTCCCTGTGTTTTTGTTTTCAGTAATGACGCAGCAGAATATCCAGCCCTCTTTTTCTGTTTATCCATCAGGCTCAAAGTGGGACGGCTGCCTGTCTCCAGCAGTCTATGAGCGAAAAGTGGGGCACACCCTGGACAGATCACCAGTTTACCGCAGGAGAATGAAGAAACACAGACCTAAGGGCAATTTAGAGGTTCCCATTAACATAACAGCCATGTTTATGGCCTGTGGGAGGAAGCCAGATTTTAAATGAACCTGAACAGAATAGTGTCTGTTTTCTTAGCTACCTCCAACACCGCTGATACTCTCTTTCAGCTTCATCTAAAACAAGTAGTCTAAGTTGATTTTTAAATTTTAGTAGATTTCCCTTTAGGTTGCATGTAAAAAAATGTTTATGTTCCCTATTGAACAACAACCACCTCCCAGTTGGCTCAGACACTCGTGTATCCTCTCTGAAAGTTTCCTGTTTTCTTAAGAAGCCGCTCTTGTGTCAGTTGTACATGGACAATAGAGCGGTGGAAGCATTTTTTGACTTGCTTAAGAGTTGGGTGAGGCAAACGTAATGTTTTGCACAACAATGAAAACTGAAGCACAACTATCAGTGCAACATTATCCTCTTCACCGTTCAAGAGGCTTAAATTATATGTAAACCACTTCATAAGTGTCTGATATAGGAACAGAAGCAGTTAAAAATATTGTAAACAGAATATTCTGAGAAGCGAACAAGATGGGTGTGTGTGTGGAGTCTAGCTGTCTTTATTACTCTGCTCAGAGTCTGCCTTTGACCTGTTTCTCCCAGGGGAAATACTCTTGTTTTTACTCAGGATGCAGGTGTCTACTCTAGAGAGGGTGCACATGCTGCTTTGGTGACAAGGTCGAAGTCTGGTGCTTTGGAGCTCCAGCTCGTCGTAACTTGACATCTGGATGAAGGGACAGCAGCGGAAGACTTGCTTGAAGCCGGCCCTGAACCTGCAATAAAAAAACAAACCCTGATATGATAAAAAGTACTACTAGATACTTAGATGCACCCATGACTGGTTTGTACCCACCTGCTGTTGAGGCAGCAGTAGATAATGGGGTTATACATGGTGGAGCTCATGGCAAGCCACAGCACTGACAGGTAAACCTGCTGGATGTACTTCCACCTAATAAGACTCTTATTGAGGCCGGTCACAATGAAGTAGACGTGATACGGCAGCCAGCAGAGGGCAAAGGTCACAACCACAATGATCATCATTTTCACCACCTAGAAGAAGAACTGTTTTTACCACATGAAAACAATCAAAGTCACAGACAGGAGCATGAATATGAAATTTATTTTTTTTAGTAGGTTTAGTTTTACACTTGCTGTCACACACAAACTCCTATGTTTGACTGGGATACAAACAGTGTATTGTTAAACTTTTCAGCCCGATTGATCCTTTCAGCCTCTCGTCACATTTCAGGCTTCAAACAAATATGTAAAATTAAAATTTTTTGTCAACAAATGGGACACAATCATGAACTGAAACGAAATTTATATTTTAAACTTTTTTTAACAAATAAAAAGCTAAAGAGTGGGACATGCCAAATAAATCGGCCCCTTTACTTTCCCTGTAGCAAACTCTTAAAATTTTAGGGAGGATCTCTAAATGATCCAATGTTGACCTAAATAGCTGATGAAGATAAATAGATTCCAGCTGTGTGTATTTGAGTCTCTGTATGAATGCACCTGCAGTGTCAGAGGTCTATTTAAAGCACACAGAGCATCAAGAAGAACAAGGAACACACCAGACAGATTCAATATACCGCTGTGAAGAGGTTTAAGCTGGATTTAGATACAAAAATATATCCCAAGCTTTAAACATCCCAAGAAGCACTGTACAAGAGATACTATTGAAATGGAAGGTATATCAGACCAGTGCAAATCTATGAAGCCCTGACCTTCCCTCTAAATTTTCAGCTTAAACAATGAGAGGACTGAGGACAGATGCAGCCAAGAGGCCAACTCTGACAACATTCAGTTGTACATGTATACTGCTCAAATCTGTTATGGGAAAAAGCCATTTCTTAAAAATGTCCATAAAAACTCTTGTTTAAAGTTTGCCACAAGCCACCTGGGAGACACAGGTGGTCTGGTCAGATGAATCCAAAATCAAACTCTATGTCAAGAATACAAAACATCATGTTTGGTGTAAAAGCAACACAGCTCATCCCCTTGAACACACCATCCCCACTGTCAAACATGGTGGTTGGAGCATCATGGTTTGGGCCTGCATTTCTTTATCAGGGATAGGGAAGATGGTTAAAATAGATGGGAATACGGATGGAGCCAAATAAAGGAGCTTTCTTGAAGAAAACCTTTTGGAGTCTGCAGAAGACCTGAGACTGGGACGGAGATTTATCTTCCAACAAGACAAAATCTACAACGGGATGGTTCACAATAAAACATATCCAGGTGTTAGAATGGCCAAGTCAAATTCCGGACCTGAATCTGATTGAGAATCTGTGGAAAGAACTGAAAACTGCTGTTCGCAAACGCTCTCCGTCCAACCTCACTGATCTTGAGCTGTTTTGCAGGAAGAATGGGCAAAAATTTCTGTCACTCGATGTACAAAACTGATGGGGACATAAAACTTGCAGCTGTAATCGCAGCAAAAGGTGGTGATACAAAGTATTAACTCAAGGGGTTGAATAATTTTGTACACCCAGTTTTTTATGTGCTAAAAATATTTTAAAATATCTAATAAATTTGGTTCAACTACATGACTGTGTCCCACTTGTTGATTCTTAAAAAAAAAAAAAAAAAAATACATATCTTTGTATTTGAAGCCTGAAATGTGGAAAAAGCTCAAAGTTCAAGGGGACCAAATATTTCCCCAAGCCGCTGTATTTGAGATATGTCAAATAAAGATTGGTATGATTGGTATGATATGAATTCATACCAATCATATTTAATTTATGAAAGACAGAGAAAATCCAAAAGCATGTGGTTAAAACTGCACAGTTAAAAAGCATTTGGTAATTATTGTACAGCTGAGAAAATTGGGTTCTATTAGCTAAACTTTATCTAATTACATTAATAATGAAACATTTCAGCTCAGCCAATGCATTTAAATACACATGCACTGTTGTATAATCTCATCTAAATAAATGCTTTTGGAAAATCAAACAAATTCTAAATAGCAAGAAAAAAATAGGTGGTTAGTTTTTAGCCAGTTCAAAAGCGAGCAAATTATTGAAAAATCTAAAAGAAGCAATGTTACAGTAGTTTCAAAATATTCTAAAGAGGGAATGTAGACCTCAAAATGTAATCTGTGCAGTCAGTTAATCTCACAAACTTACTTTGAAATGTGCTTTTTGTGTTTTTGGAGGTTGCATGAGTAACAACTGAACAAAGCATTTGTAAAGCAACAGCTTTGGCAAAATGCAGGGTGGCAAAAAAATGTAATTTCATATGAATTATTCTTTTCCTGCTAATGGATCCACTGCAACTTAATAATAAAGTTAATGATATAGTAAGTTATTACCATCACTGTCTGAACTGAAGACTTAGTGCAGTTTTTCTCAGACGGATATAAATGATCCATGGCCTTTCTTAGCAATGAGAGCCCGAGGATATTTATTTTCCTGGGTAAAACAAACCCCCAGGTTTAAATCTCGAAGCTATAAATGGGGAAGGGGCCCGCTCCCAGATAAAGCTGAGCACAAGGAGTCTACTTTCAATCAGAAAAAAAAAAAGATTTGTAGAATAAAAAAACAAGTTTAAACATAAATATGGTGGAATTATAAATTTACTTCTGATTTGTTTCATTCTAGATAATAAACCCAGTGCACCTTAATAAATATGTTTTTAAATGATCAGGGATGTTATATAAGAAGTGTAAAAACACCTTTTGGATGTATAATGATAAAGAAAATTCCTTTTAAATGTAAAACAAAAAAAAATTGTGTCAAAGCTGTTGGAGCGACATAATTAGTCCTGAATAAGTAACCTCGGATTATATTCTATAATTAAACTATTGCCAACTACCAATTTGTTTTTATCAAACTTTTCCATATAATTGGAGAAAGGCTGAGAGGTACAGTGAAAGGTCAGCGATGACGCATCAAACATCAGCAGCTTCCCAGCTGGAGGGATGAGCGAGCTCTACAGGCCAGTGGCTTGCAGCACAATGCAGAGATTCAATAGGAGCAGACCATCAGCAGATGCTTCTAAATGCCATAGGTCCTGAATTCTGTCCTTTAACTTTTACAGCCAGTGTCTTAGACATTTTCTATATTAAATATCATCTTTTAATTTTTGAGCACAGTCCATAGAAAAAAATACAACCTCTGATCATGTTTCCTGCTGAAGACCTTTAAAAGGTGGTAGAAAATCCACCTCCCTATGAAAAGCTAAAAGCTTTTCATAAATAAGTTAACAAATGAATTTACTCCGTCTTTTCTATTTTTATCATGCATTCTTATGACATCAGTTAAATGAGAACCAGATGGTTATCTGGGATACGTACAAAGGTCATCAATGAAATTCATTGTCGGGAATAATCCCTGAGCTGTCTCAATAGATTCTCATCATCCCAGCTGTGACGTCCCTAATCTCTGCGCTGCCCGCAGAGAAGCTTCAACACTGTTTAGTGGCAGATGATGACAAACTGCATTTAATCATAGTCTGCAAGTTGCTGGTGAACAAGTCTGCAAAATTACACAGCAGCTTATTGGTGCATGTGGATACCATTAACCGAAGGGTGACTTTCTATCACAGATGTCTGCAGTTTCTCACAATGGGTCTTAATAATTAAAATTATAGCATTGTCAAGATACCAGTTTAGAAAATCATAGTTTAGCTGTCATTTAGAATCATTTGTTATTTCTTGATCATTGATCAGACAGCAATTAAAAAACACCTTAATGTGCAGCCTTTAAGCATATTACCACCATCTACAGGGCAGAAAAAGAGAAAGTACGTGTTTTACTCCAGTTAAATGTAATATGACCAAAACTGAGTGCCTCTACAATTTGAAAATTGTTAAACTTCGATTACATTCCAGATGCTATTAATAACCCAGATTTGCAATTTTTCACTATGTCAGACTCACCACTGGTAAGTGAAAATGGGGATGAGCACGTAGGACGGCCTTACGTAAACATATCACCAGAATGATTGACAATTTGGAGGACCACTTATTTTGATGATCCACCTGGAAAAAGGACATCCTCCACTATACCTTTGAGTTAAGCAGCCTTTGCTCTATAGCTAGTTTTTGAAATTAATTATACTATTAAGTGAAAATAAATGTTTGCATCTTTTCATCAATTCCATGATGCTGCATCGATGCAACTGAACCTTTGATCACAAAAAATGTCTTGAAATACTTTCTAATTTTCTCCTCCGACAGGATGGTTTATTTCATCTTCAAATTGTCCTCACTGTAATAAAGAAACAGTTTTTTGCATTTATATTTTTTAAAACTCTTTATTTGGCATCATTTTTATATCAAAACATCTTACAAAGGCAAAGTTGATCTTCTTCTTTATAGGCATGCCATTTTTTCCAGTGCTATTGTATTTGTGACCTTTAATATTTTAAATGTAGCATTTGTTTTTGATGCAACATTTATACAGCTTTTGCTTCTATCTAGGAATGTTCTAGGAATTATCCCATAATGATCCATGGTGTAATTTAAGGGCAACTGTTCACGGTATTATATATATATAATACATATTTCCTATAAAGGAGAGGATGTGCTGTTTGGTGGAGCATGTTTTTGAGATCCTGAAGGTTGCATCCAAAAGAGGCCAAATGTAACGTTCAAGGCACGCCACTAGTTTAGTTACAACAACTAGAATGGAGCCCTGCCTGCTCAGTTCAGATTGAAGAAAGACATAGGCTAGAGCACATGTGTCATATGATAGAAAAGCTACCACTGGTGCCACACACCGGTGGTAGCTCCTCCATAGCACACTATCTTTCCAGTCCCATATAAATAACATTAACCGGTCTGGCTATTTCCACTTAAGAAACATCAACAGCCTCCGTCCCTCCCTTACCCCACACACTACTGCCATACTTGTGCACAGCCTTGTCACCTCCCGATTAGATTACTGCAACTCCCTCCTCTTTGGACTTCCTCAGAAATCCCTCCACAAACTACAACTGGTCCAGAACTCAGCTGCTCGCATCATAACAAGAACTCCCTCTGTCCACCACATCACTCCGGTCCTCCGACAGCTCCACTGGCTCCCGGTACAGTTCTGCATTCACCATAAAATTATCATGATGACATTCAATTCAATTTCAATACAACTCAATACTCATCTGTTTAAGATTGCGTATTCTCTTTAAATATCAATTTCACTGCCACAGCCTCTGTATTTTTTAAATGTTTTTATTTTGTTTCTGACACTGTGTTGTTTATGCTTTTGTACGGTGACCTTGAGTGTCCAGAAAGGTGCCTTTTTAAATAAAATGGATTATTATTATTATTATTACACACACGTAAGTATCATCCAAATAACTGCTACGTCCTCAATACAACTGTTTGGTGCATGTTTAAACTTGGGGAATTCTACTCTTCATCACATGTTATAGGGTGTTATAGGGACTCCATCATTTTGTGTTGATATTTCATCCTTATCATCAATCCTCATTTAAGCTTATTTGCTGCTTATTTGTCAGTAATGCAGCAAATGTGGCTAAAAAGAAGAAAAAATGTTTTGCTTAGTTTCACAGGGATGAAGAGAGACATAGCAACAATCCCTTAAAGGGGTCATAGAATGATTATATAGGGTATTTGGTGCTGGTCCTTAAGGTCTCTGAATAGGGTGTGTAACATTGGTTGGGCTGAAAATGGCATATTTGCTGTTCTATGAGCCCTAATGCAAGCCTGGTTTTACAGCCCTAGAATAAAACCACAGGTTTTCTTCCTTTAATGGTATGCTCATGAATATTTAGATGAGCTGTGTGCTGACTGGTTGTTTTACACCGAGCGAAGCTGCTGAGCAAAAACGCATCATAGCAACAAGAACTCACTCAATGAAACATCAAACTGTTGATATGGTAGGGTAACCAGACATCCTCTTTTTCCCGGACATGTCCTACTTCATACCTAAAAAAAAGTCTGGGGGGAATTTCAAAATCATCTGGGATTTTGGTCGACTACAGTGCAACCCCCACCAGAAATAATTATATTGCCTGCGCGCTCTCACTGGCATTACAAAAACACCACCTTGCATAGTCTAAAATCCAAGATAATTTATCCGACTCATGGGCATCCGTGACCAACTATCTATATCAAGGAGACTCCCAGAACTTCGGGTACACTTGGGATGTCTGTTACTGGCTCACTGTTCCCCTCTTACGGCTGAGGACGGGCAGTTATTGGCTCCAGTCAGGTTTGAACTTTTCTGTACGTCCATTTCACCCACTGAACAATGGTTATTCATCTATGACAATGTAAACTAGGTTTTACATTCTATGACCCCTTTAGGGTCTTATTCAAATTCCTTTCTATCCCCCTTGATTTCACAGATTTAATGTTTATCTAATAAGACAACAATATGTAGGATTGCAATAGGTTGAGCTGAAAGATGAATACAGTGGTTACCTTTCTTTTGGCCTGAAGTTGTGTGTGGTAGTTTTCCGATGAGTCTCCAGGGATCTCACTTCCCCACAGCGATACTCCGATTACAGTGTAAGTGATGCCCATCACAGCTAATGGCAGAATGTAAACCAGAACAGTAACTATGATGTGATACCTGGCAAATAAAAATAAATAATACTTTACTAAGATGCCACAGAGCATGTCATAGACAAAAATTCAAATAAAGCTGTTAAATCTAACAATCTTGTTTCTGATGATGAATGGGTCAGCACAGCCTCACATAAAAGGGTCGTCAGCCATTCGGGGCCAGGCCACGTAGCAGAAAGTTCTGCCTGGTAATGTTCTGGTGGTGGAGAAGTAGCAGAGAGGGAAGGCCAGGACCACAGCTAGGGTCCAGATACAGAAGATAACTCCCAATGTGGCTTTTGCAGAGAGTCGAGGCTTCAGAGGGTGAATGATTGCCATGTATCTGCATGTTGAACATCAGAACACACAAGGGAACTGTTATTAAACCAGAAAAAAAAAAAACACTTCTAAATGTGGATTTCCACCCATTGGAGAAACAAATACGTAAAATTCTACCCTTATACCACTGCAGCATAGATGGTTACATTTCAGATGTTAAGAAAAGTTAAACATGAAGTCAGGCACTGAATGGCTTCTTATTTCTTAAACCTTTCTGAAAACACATCCTGCAGTTTTAGAAAATATGTTAAACGATTCTGAGCCTGAAAAATTACTGGCACACATCGAAAAAAACTTCAAACATAATTGCTGAAACATTTAAATTACTTGTGAAGTAAAAACTGAGAGGATAGAGGTGGAAACCATCTAATTGGAAGATAAATAACAATGATAGATGTGATCAACATCACTTGGTGAAATCAATTTGTAATAAAAAGCAAAACAACAGATCATAGTACTGCAATGAATGGTCAGGTAAAAGATTTTAAAATGCACAATCCAAATGGAACTTAAAACAAACAAACAAACCAAAATGTTCTGCAAACTTGAAAATATATCTTATAAGATGGGTTACTAAGTAAAAAAGGTTGGAAAAATGAAAGATGAGGATGTGGTCTGATGAGACCAGAATTTTTTTGTTCCAAAGCGATGGGCACATCACAAGAGCTGTGCACATCTTTTCTAGATGAGCCACCTGTCTGTGAAGGTATTGCTGTAGGGTTGCTGCAGGTGGATATAGTTCTAGATTCCACAATGTTAGGTGGCAACAGAAAAAGGTCAGCAGATGTCCTAAGTATATCATAAATAACCAGTAAATTTCTTTGATTGTTTTGGCATACTCAAAGATTACAATATTTAATATAACAATGATTGAGAAATTAAATTAAGAATAAATATATTTAATTAGAGTAATCAGAGTATGAACAATCCAAACAAGAGTAGCAGTAACACCAACTGTAACTATCATGACGATGATAACAGCGATATTATAAATTATTCAGATTTAAAAAATATATATATAATGTTAATTGTTCTATAAGAGAATATAACAAACTGTGTAAATCGATTCTACCGCCTTTAATTCAATTGATTAAAAAAAACTCTAGCTTATATAATAATTACCCACCAATATTGCCCAGTTTGTTGATTTCACATTGCCATTTGCTTGATAAAAAATGCAATAATAAATTCATTAACTTTGATGATTATGATAGATTTACTTGGAAGAGAGATATTCCTGTTAATTCAGATACAGTCCATAAGGCATTCTCAGAATGACCTACTCTACCTAAAGTCAAAGAAACACATTTTAAAGTTATAAACATAATGTATCCTGTGGCGGAATTTTTAAGAAAAAGATTTGGTTTTGAGGTGGATCAATGTTCCTTTTGTAATAATAATAATAATAATAGTGAAACGTTGAACATATGTTTTACCTCTGTCCTACTACACACCGCTTCTGGAAAGATTGAAAGATTGGATTTCTTTAAAAATAAATGATGTCCCCCCATTTGCACTAAATGATGTCATTTTTTATATGGCCCATCTTCCCCACACTGCTTCTTATAATATCCTCCTGCTGTTAGGTAAATATCATATCCACTGTGCTAAATAGAAAAATTCTAAACCTTCCTTTGACTGTTTTATAAATGACTTTAAAACCAATTTTTCTTCTCTTAAAAAGATATTTTTTGTTTAAATGACAAATATGCCAAAAAAAATGAGACTTGATTTCTCCAAACATCTGCTATTCTAAGTGCATTCACCTTTTTGATTTCATTATTTCTATGGCTCGATGGAGGACCAACTCTGCCATATTTAAAAATAAATACAGAAATAAATAAATGCTCAATAAATTGATAAGCATACAATTAGTTTCCCCCAAAAATACCATGAACAAATAAGTGTAGGTAGAAATAAAATTATACAGTGAGACATTAATGTATATATCTCTTTTAATTAGCTTCTCTTTTTGTTATAATTACCTTATTTATTTATTGCCTGTATAATCTTTAACTATTTATTTATTACTTACTGTTTTAAGTATTTATTTATGTGCATGTGATAATATTTTGTCTGCTTTATTCTTCCTTTGTATTTTTTTACTCGCCTTATTTCTTCAACGCCATTTATTTCTGCATGTCATTTTTACATTTCTGTATGCATTTCTGCCTCAATATGTAAATGAGGAAGGGTGTGTCTTAGAGAGGCAAATATTATCACATGCACATAAATAAATACTTAAAAAAATAAGTAATAAATAAATCAATATAAAATAAAAATAAGCTAATTATTACAAAAAGAGAAGCTAATTAAAAGATATATAAACATTTATGTCTCACTGTATAATTTAATTTCTAACTACAATTATTTGTTTATAGTTTTGGGGGGCAATTAATTGAATGCTTATTTATTAATTGAGCATTTATTTATTTTTGTAATTATTTTTAGATATGCTCTGTCTATGTTTGGTTTAAATGTTTGCTAAGATAAATCCCCTGTTAGTTGTCTTACTTTTTTGTCTTTCTTTTATTGTAATTTATCTTTATCTGTTCATGTACACCTTTGCTATCCTCTCTGAGAGTATTTTTTCCTGTAAATGTTTTTTGACTTAATAAAAAAAATAAATAATAACTATCATGACGTCCTACCTGTCCAAGGCTATGGCTGTCATGGAGTAGATGCTGGCAAACACAGCTGTGACCGGGAAGAAGTTGTGAAACCTGCAGTAGACCTCCCCAAAGTACCAGTCTCCGTGGGCTGCGTAAATGAAGTTGATGAGGGTGTTGAAGGCAGCCATGGATGCGTCTGAGAAAGCCAGGTTCAGTAGGAAGTAGTTCGTCACGGTCCTCATCCGTTTGTGCGCAAGAACGATCCAAATTACGATCAAGTTGCCGAAGACAGCCACCAGCAGCACCGTGATGTAAGCCACGGACCAGAGCGCCACGCGCCAGGCTGGCTGCGCAAACTGGTTGGCCAGAATTCTGCTGGGGGCCGTGGTGATGTTGGAGCCATCGTGTTCAGGGGCCATTCCCCGAGGGTCCTCAGACAGATCTGCTGCTCCAGACTCCCTTCTGTGAGAAAGAGAGATTGGTCCTGATGCTTGGAGCACGGCGTTGCTGAAGTGGAGTGAGCGTAACCCACGCGGTGTGAATGAAGTGAAGAAAACAGAAATCCACCTCACGCTGAAAACAAATCCTCCTGTTCTTCTATTTTTATAAACCAATGACAGATTGTCTGAGAGGAGATGCTTGTTCTCAAAAAAAAAAAAAAAAAAAAAAAAAGTGTATCTGTGACACTTAAGACTCTGTGCGTAAAAGCTCAAGATGGAATTTCTTTTTTGTAAATATTCCTTCATAGAAATAATGTTTAACAACAGCAGTTAAGACTCAATACTCACTGCAAAAATTAAACCTGACAAGCTTTCAGTTGAGGGTTATAAAGAATATTACCTGAGGTGTTTGAGATCCCTCTTGCTGTGATACTGTTAATCCTTTGTCATGAAAAGCAAAGCTGAGATATGTGGGGTGTTATGAATGCTTGTTGTGTAACCATAATCTGACTGTAAAGGGGGGGTTTTGGTACATGGAGCACATGATGCAAATCCTTGGCTTACACGACCTGGAATGTTTCTTCTAAAATAGAAATAAGTGAATTCTTATCATGGCAAACCTCATGAACAATCCACAGTGTGTGGTCTGTATTTTGTCATGATAACAGAATCTGTGTTAAATGTAGCTAATTCATGGTTTTGAATAAAGTCACAGTTACACATAGTGAGTTCAGATGAAAAAATATATTACACCTAAGAAATATATATTGATTAAAACTCCCACTCAATTACAGACACAAAAGCGAGAAGGATGTTTGCATCCTAGAGAGGCTGAAAGATTGCCTATTCAAACCATTTAGCAGAACCCTTAACCCCAGAATGCCCCCCTAATACCACTAAGTGTCGCTGCCCACTGCATCCAAAGGGATGGGTTGAACACAGACAATTGAGGGATATTTTATCAATCTTCTTTAAACGGCCATGTTCACAGACAAAAAAATAAACCATTCATGCACTCTTCATGTCTGTTTCTGAAATCCGCACTGAGGGATGTTTGGAAAAAAACAGAAGATTAAGTTTCAGTCACATGAGTGAGGATTACTGGGTACAATGTGAACTTATTTGTGTCACAATTTCATGCGAACATTAACTTTTCTTTTCACTGTGGAACAAATGGGAACATCAAAAATTGGCAGCAAATTTCAACAATATGGGAAAAATCTTTTTTTTCCCTCTAAGGATGCGTTTGTTAAATAATACATGTATTTGTTTTTAGCATACAGAGTATACAGAGTGGGGCGACAGTGGCGTTAGATGTAGGAGTTTGCCCTGAAAACGAAGGGTTGACGGTTCAAGCCCCGACTCTGACTTTCAGTGACGTTGTGTCCTTGGGCAAGACATTTCAACTGCATTGTCTACTGATGGTGGTCAGAGGGCCCGGTGGCGCCAGTGTACGGCAGCCCTGCTTCTGTCAGTGAGCCCCAGGGCAGCTGTGGCTACAATGTAGCTTGCCACCATCAGTGGGTGAATGAATGTAGTGTAAAGTGCTTTGGTCAAGTCTCCTAACTTGAATAAAGGTGCTATATAAGTACATGCCATTTACCATACATTCTGATACTCTGATATAGCATCCAGTGCAACTATATGTGTGTAACTGAATCTCAATAAACATCCAGCTGTTCTGTCAAGGCATAAAAAGGCACAAACACTAACAGGTTGTGCAAGGAGAGCATTAGTTAGAAAAGCTGTTAAAAATAAATCTGCACAGTGAATTCCACTGTGTTAAATATGTAGTGTCAAAGTACATTGACTCTTTTAGAGTTATTACAACAACAACTGGAGTAAGATATACACTATGTACAGAGTTAATTTAACACAAATTCAGAGTGGGACCAAAAGCACTCGGATTGATGTACAATTTAAATCTTAAAGTGTTAATTTAATGCAAAATGTACTGTGTGGAAAAATCTAAAGTTCATGTGAGAGAATCCATCTTTAGGACCACATCCAGTCCATTGCTCTACATATTGATTTTGTCATTTTTATTTCTGTAATTTTCTTTACAGAAGAGTAATAAGTAAGCCATTGTTGAAAGAAACTCATAAGACGTCCTGTTTGAAGTCTACTTCTAGCTGCAATCTGTAAAGGACAAAGAAATAAGTTCTCTGGTCAGAAGAGAAAATAATTGAATATTAAATCTAGGTAAAACCCTATATGGGTGGTAAAGTAAGTCTGAACCAGATGTGTCTAAAGTGCTCACATTCTCTGCTTAAGTAAAGGTAGACACTTGTTTAAAAAAAAACCACTGGTAAAATGAAAAGTACCACTTGAACTTCATTAAAAGTGTAGTTTCTACATTGTACTTAAGTACAAAAATAAAATGAAGTTTTTGCCTTAAGTGATACAAAATAACTTAAAACTCTAAAAGGTTCTATGCACAAAAAATATGTTAAATTTCCTCTTCAGGTCACAGTGACGGTAGAGAAAACTTTAAGAAAAACTGACTCGGTGTAGTTTTGTTTTAACTAAAATTGCAGACAGGATAATAAAGAGCTATGGTATTCACAGCATTAATGTTGCAAAGAAGATGTAAGTTAAAATATAACTTGAAGCATAATCAAAAGCAAATTTAAAATGGAATAAAGCAGGAATGGATGCAGATTTTATTGTGTCTCAGAATCTGTGATGTTTCCCACGTCCTTATCTTCATCCATGAACAAACTAAAACTGGTCACCAACTGAAAAGTCTGTGCAACCTGTGTAGAATAGAAAGTAAAGATATTTATGTTTAAATGTAGTGAGCAAAAGTAAAAAGCCTTCAGGAAAATAAGCACTCAAGTAATGTAAAGATTATGAAAACAATCTACTCAAGTACAATAATAAAGTATCTATACTTAGTTACATGACAGCTCTGCTCTGAACATCACTCTAAATACGATGAGACATCAGCATCTGGCGGTGGGGATTCTTCTCTCCAAGTGACAAGGAAGCTGGTTAGAGTTGATTGGAAGATGGATGGTGTTAAATACAGAACAATCCTGACAGGGCAGTGGGGGCACATCTCCCAAATCAACCCAAAAAGTAGAGTTGCTACTTCTAAAAGCCAGATACCACCACAGAAACATATAAATCGGCTGAAACATAAAAAGAAGGCAGAGGAGGCTAAGAAGAGCTATTTAAAAACCACATATAAGACACAACTCCAGTAAGAAAGATGAATGAAAGCATCGAAATAGAAATGATTAAAGGAGCATGAACACATTGACTGTTGTGTGTTTGGTGTGCAGTCCGCTGAGTCACACGACCTCAAGGATCACAAGGTGTTTTAATCACCTCACAGTCTACAGATGTTGGGGAATTTAAATCAAAAGCTGATGTTCCCTTTCATGTTCTTTCACCGGAAAGCATCTTCATCCATGTACAGAAAACCAGTCCACCAACACATCCCAACGGATAACAAAGCCCTTGTTTTCATGTTTTTTTAAACCCGATTTTCATTATTTGCTTCCTCTTTGTGATTGGATAAATATAATATTATTACTTACCGGCACACAAGTATGTATCTGTATCATAGATTTTTGTATTTGGCTTTAATTTAACTTCCCAGATTGTTTTAATGAACCTTTATGTTGGTTCAACTCCTTGTGGATCTAGACTTTGTGTCTTTACCTGAATAGCCCTGAATTCTCCTCACCTTTTGTCTGTCAGCTATTTACTACTAAGGCAGAAAAATGGCGGAAGTTGTGCCCACTGTGAAAAGACCACAAAAGGTCAGAAAGTCTGTTTTCCTCCCAGCAAGATCTCATTACGCAGAGACCACTTTGTTTAGACCACTCCCTGTCTCAAATGTCACTGTTGGAACCGCTTCCAAACACGCCCTGTCCTCCATATTAAAAAGGTCACTGGCTACCAAGTAATCGCTGACTGAATCATTAGCCGCATACAAAAAGATCGTGCTTTGATTCTATGTGAATAATTCAGGCATAATTGAATCAAGGGGGGTTGACAGCATGGTGCAGGGTGGGGTGTTTTGTTATTTGTTCGATCTGTTTACCTCTTAAAGAGACAATGCAGTCCATTGGAAAAAGGAGTTTTGAAAACTGAAATGCATCAAAATACATGTTCTAAACACTGAAAGGGCTTTAGATCGCGGTCTACATGGCTTATAGCAAAACGTAAACTGGATTTTTTTTTTTTTTATGCTCATTTGTAGAGTGCAACTTTTTTGGATGGCTCAAAAAATACCTGAGCTGCGGATCTTTTGAGTGGCGGCCTAGCGGTTAGAGCATAGAGCTTGGAATCCTGAGGTTCTGAGTTCAAACCCCGCTCCAAAAGACTGCCACTCTGGGTCTCTGAGCAAGACCCTTAGACCCCGGTTGCTCCCTGGGGGCCCGAGATGGCAGCCCACTGCCCCCCAAGGAAATGGGTTAAATGCAGAGGTAGATTTCTCCAATGTGAGAGCAATAAAGTTCAATCATTATTATTTTTATTATTTTGATGCTCCGTAAGAGCTGCCAATAGCCTCTACTCTGCTTCTTTAAATAATGGTCTCTTTCCTTGCCCTGCCACTATGGGTGGATTAAAGCATCCTGGTAGGTATAGAGATGAGCCATATGCTATGCTGGCCTGACATCTGCGTTATTTGATCAATAATGTTCTCAAACCTCTGACACCTTCTCAAAACAATTAAATTAGATGTGAATTTTTCCGACCTTTGAAGGTCATTGGCTGTTTGTTTGTTTTATCAAGGGTGCCAGAGTCATGGGGCTGATAGCAAATGCTCATCACACTCGTCTGCAAAGAATAAGTCTCTAAACTTCACTCTGCTTCTAGAATTAGAATGCACTGAATTTTAAGACTGAAATTAGTAAAATGGAAGATAAGGTTTAATAGAATGCTTCCGTAAGGCACACATTAAATTAGGTTGAAGTCATAGATCATTGTTACAGTTTTACGTATTGTTATTATTACGGAATTGAAAAAAAATTCAAGGGGTATGAATGATAGGCTGTTGTTCTTATATTATAGTGTGTATGTAATTTATATATATAACAACACTACTGATTTATCCTATTGTTAAACCTTATTTAAGGTCTTATTGTTGTTTATTGGTGTGAAACACAGTTTTTAAGTGGTTTTATTTAAAGTGAAAGGGGTTCTGCAAAGGTGGATGAGTGAGTGAATGAATGAGAGAAAGCAGCTTACAGCTGAGAGATGGCTCTGGCGGGATTACAGGTCTAAAAGGAGCGGGACTTTTCTCCTCTGGGACAAGCCGTGAAGACCGAAAAGGTTGGAATGAGCAGAAACATCTGAGAATAAGGAGGTAATTAACTTTTTAAAGGGTCATTTTGCATCCTATTTTCAACAAACAATTATTTGATCAGTCTGAAGAAGCACCTAGATATGAGACAATTTGAACTCTGACTATATTGAGGTGTTTGAATGTCTTGGTGAATTTTCTTCATTGATCTACTGAAGGTGTGCTGTGCAGATGTAACATCACATATAATGAAGAAAAGAAAGCAATTGCAAAAACAGAGCTAAGTCATTTGTTATGTATTGCAGTCAGTAATGGTAGCCGATGTGAGATAAATAAACCCCAAACTACTACAATAATCCATTTTACTTTGTGCAAATGTCTCAGTTATATAGCAGGTTCCACAGCTCCCATAGCGAATCCTGCTGGTGGAAAAGTAAAAACAGCCTTCCCTACATTACAAAATGCTTTGCTGTGTGAAATCTGAGCCCTGCAGATGTAAAGAGGAGGGCCAAATGTTTAAGGAGGGCGCAACACAACAAGTAGAACTGCTTGTTTAAACAGGAAGTTGAAAGGGAGAAATGACAGGCAGAGAGTCTCATTTTGAGCTCCACTGTGCCGCTGCATTTAAAGTTTAAAGGTCACTATAGATCATTGAAGGGTAAACAGGGCTAAATACTGACAGGTAAGACATGCAGCCTTTCAGAATATGTTTCTTAAACCCATGTTAATGTTTAATTTGAATGAAAAGGAACTCGACACAGGAAATCAGCACTTTGCTTCACTGAATGCCTTTATCGTTTGACAGGGGACTTTTACGGTACCAGTAAAACAGCCTGTACATGTGCTTCTACTAATGCAGGAGAAGGTGCAGACACCAGCAGATACAAGCACGGACCTGGATCTGTTTTTAATCATTTGTTGAACGAACCACGCCTGTAAAATCAGAAAAATATGTGTAAATGTTTCATCACTGCCTAGAGGAGTATACATTTACCAGCTTTAGTCGTTTATACTATTAAGTGATAAGTATGTTTTAAAATGCATGCCTTCTCTTAAAGCTTATTATTCATATCAGTCACTTATTCTTACCCCTCAGTAACTGGCTGGCTGCAGATGTCCTTTATTAACCTCTGACAGTTGAGGCAAAACTAAGAAATGACCCCAAATATATAGTTTTACAATATTAATTTAAAAAAAAAAACAGTTTATTTTGTTTAGTGTTGAAAAAGAAAACTGAGATGCTTGCTGCAAAATATTTTAAAGTGATGAATGCAAACTGTTTTCATTATGTATATAGGAGAGATAAACAGGTACATTACAGAGCTGTATGCTAGGACTAAACTCTACTAAAGTGCTAGGTAAAAGTATTTCTTTTTAATGGACCAACACATCTCTTAATCAGTACAACTTACAAAGTAAAAAGTCATAGGTAAGTAAATCATAGGCAATCATAGGCAGTAAAAGACATAGGTAAATTAGGTATGTTTCTATAGACTGCACACATCTAGAGAGTAAAAGCATTGTCCATTCATCTTTGTCTAATTGTGCAGCCTCAGGTAGATTATATTGAAAAAGTCTGAGCATAGTTTTTCAAGTATCAAAACATATTTTCTTTTTATTTAATTCTAGACATTGGCTGATTGTAGCCTTTATTTAAAGTATGTAATACAGTTTTAACTGTAGGTGACCCTTTCAAGTCTTCTAGGGCCTCTAAATGTCTTACTACCTGGACTGTGGTTTCTTTGAAAATTAACTGCTGATCCAATTGGGTCCCAGTAGTTAATGTAAAACTTATTCTTTTAGGAAACTTGTTGCAGATTATGTTTGCAGAGTTTTTTTAAAGGTTTTTGTGTCACTTATTCAATCAAATGACTAACTAGCTATCATCTAAATAAACATCAGCCCTCCCCACCCTGGTGTCTGTACAGGCTCTACAACTGCTTGGTTTTTTAACTTTCTCCTTCTGCTCAGAGCTTCGATAGAGAAGTTTGAAAGACAAAAAGCTCCCTGAATCTAACAGTGTTATTGTTTTCTGCCCGGTAGATGGAGCGTGCCGCCATCCCACCAATCTCCAGTGTCGCCGTCTGCGGTGGAACTCATGGGAATGAGTTGACAGGGGTGTACATTGTGAGGGAAATGCAGAAACAGAAGCTGGAGAAAGTGGGATCTGTTTCTATAACCCCTGTTTTGACCAATCCTAAAGCATTAGATGTTGGCAGGAGATACACAGAGATGGATTTAAACCGCTGTTTCACAGATGCCTTGCTGAGGTAAGCGAATTGAAAATAAAAGTCCTGTAAGGCAAATTTATTTATATTATGCATTTCAGTAGCAAGATATTTCAAAGTGCTGTGCTCCAAGATTTTATAGTATTAATAGCTAAGATCATTGTTCTCCTTTCAGTTCCCCCATAACAGAGTCGACCCCATATGAGCTGAGGCGAGCCCAGGAACTGAACGCTCAGCTAGGGCCTAAAGGAAGCGCAGAGGCTGTGGATCTGCTCATAGACCTGCACAATACCACAGCCAACATGGGGCTGTGCCTCATCTTCTACTCTATAGACTGGATCACTCTGCACATTTACAAATACCTACAGGTATGCACTTCAGAAAGCCCTTCAGACAGAGATTCTGGCTAACTTTCCTGTGCTAAATGGTAATGATGACACGTAATTCTAACCACAAAACCACAAAATCCTAGCTATCCCAAATTTAGCACTTTTAAAAGGCCCAAAACACATTTATTTATGAACATAATTTACCTACTGAGCATCTTTATACTAAACAAGCTTCATTTTTTGCCCTCAAGATAAAGATTCAAAATGCAACTAATATATATATATATATATATATATATATATATATATATATATATATATATATATATATATATATATATATATATATTTTTTTTTTTAGAGATGTTATAGCTGCAGGAAAACATTCTCTAAGGCAGTTCTCAATTATTGTTGTGTGTGAGCTGGTTAGGGCACAGTAGTTGTTACAGCTTTAGTGCATGGAGCAAAATGCAATCGAGGTTGGTAAAATCTATCAAATTTCAAACATGTACATATTCTAAAAGTAAATCTAATTTCTCTATGTAACTTATCCATCCTCCAACGTTTAAGAACATTCCTAAAAGGTCTGACTTGGTTAAATGTTTAGTTGTACCATCAACTAACTCTGACTACTTACTTTTTATAAATAAGAATGCAAGATACAAAAGCAGGAACCAACAGTAGTTAGGGGAGTAGTGGCCTAGTGGTTAGGGTGTTCTGCTTGGATCCCTGAGATTGAGTTCCAGCCCCACTCCCACGGACTGCCACTCTGGGTCCCTGAGCAAGACCCTTAACCCCAGTGGGCTGCCACACAGAGTTCACCTCTTTGCTTTGTAGTTGTGACAATGTAATGACAACAATTTGAATTCTATTCTAGTTAATGATCCCACATTGACAGATCTCTAGAAACTCCTTTTAGCTCTTTCACTCACATCGACATCCCTGCTAATCTCTTAAACCTGACATAAAATGTGTGATGTCTTCAAACTCAAAGGGTATTGTTTTTCAGAATAAGATGAGCTCTATTCCTGTGAGAGCAATCCAGGTGGCCGTTCCTACCTCTGATGCTTATTCCCTGGAATCAGTGGGCAAACATGGCTTTGGTTACTATCAAATTTTCATATATACGTAGATTATGTTCATTTATCCAGAAAATCTGTGGCTGACTTTACTTCATTGCAGCGATAGAAGTGGGTCCTCAACCTAACGGCGTGCTCCGAGCTGATATCTTCAACATGGTTAAAGAAGCAGTGGAGCTCACATTAGCATGGCTTCAGGAATTCAATTCTGGTAGGATGTATGTTGTTTTTTCACAGCAGATCACAAACAGATTATGGAATATTGAGATTTATTTTTCTATCTTCTTGAGATACACTCTCTTTTTACTATTTAGAATTTCAATTTTCTAATGCAACATAAAATGTGCATAAAATAAAACCTGCAACCTAGTCTTATACTTTATTGTGTATGTGATCCAATCCGAATCAGGTTAGTGATTCTCGTCTGCTAACAGGACACACTTTTGAGGGCAGCACAGTGGAAGCATACACTTTAGTTAAAAGTGTCGACTACCCAAGAGACCCAGCTAGTAAAATTACAGCTGCCATCCACCAAGACCTACAGGTGCGCTGCAAGATTTGGGTTTTAGTGCTTTTACTGCAGCAATATTAAAGCAGACTCCAGGGGAAGTTAATGAAAAGCTGCATGAAGTAAATTTTTTTTTCCTCCAGGATAATGACTTTAAGCTGCTCCGGTCGGGGGATCCCATCTTCCTGACATTTTCCGGGGAGACTTTGAAGTACGAGGGAGAAGACCTCTACCCTTTCTTTGTAAATGAATGTGCCTACTATGAGAAGAAGATTGCTTTTCATTTAGCTCAGAAGAAAACATACACCTTCCCATCCATATCTGTGAAGAAGGACTGATAAACCACATAAAAACAAAGATAACAATGCTTCAACAACAAAAAAAACACAAATCTAATTTAAGATGATCTGTCACACAAGTTGTGCAAATCCAGTGCAATCCAGTGCCTTGTTCACATGTTTACATTTTGTCTGGTTAAAAAAAAAAGGAATATTTTTCAAATTCTGATTTTACATTCAAGACTGATTGTGGAAATCAGGAAATTCAGCAACGGTTTTAAAATTTCCTAATTTTCTAATCTATTTAAAATTGAACACCTGTGATGTATACTGTATTCGTACTCCCCAATCAGTACTTGTTAATACTTCATGGTAATTTACCGATTTGATATGATTTCAGGAGCAGGTATTTTGAATTATTTGTAGGTGTGGCCAATATGAACTTAAAGGGATATGATTTTTAAGGTATTTATTAATAAAGCTATAATTAAAAAAGTTATTTCTAACTTGTTTGCAGTCTTTTTTTTTACTTTCTATATTTGTATTTGTGACTTGCTTCTCTCTGCTTGAAGACTCTTTTCTTCCCTGAATTGATTCAGTCTTGAGTTTTCATGTCTTATGCAAACTGTGAAAAAGTTGGACTGGAACTGCTGCATACAGGGACCTACAAGGATTACTATTATTGCTAAACATTTTTAATTAACTTTATGTTCTTTTATTGAATCTGAAAGAACCAATCAGAAAGAATGGCACTTCAGCTAATCAGCACAAGAAACTTCCTGCCACTATAGACATTGACTTTTTTTCTTTCTTACAGAAAATGGTTGCTTTGGGGAATACAATCCAGTAACTAGAATTTAATGTGAAAGTCTATACTGGGTTCAACAATAAGACAACTCTGTGATCCCAAATAGACCCAAGAAAAACTTTGAGGTCAATATGGAGCACAGCAATGATGCTGAAAGATAGCTTGTGATCCTACATAGATGGCTCAAAACACTGATAAGGACACCGATTGGGAGCAAAACCAAAACATCGAGGAAGACTACTCACTAGAGGAGAACAGCATTTAAATCAGAATGGCCAGCATTATGGAAAAATGGTCCAATTTCTCCTCAGAATGACGGATTTCAACAGAAAGTGATTGACTCAGGGGAAGTCATCCCTCTTCAAAACAGGTTTACCTGTCTGAATGGGGAAAAAAATGGAAAATTACCATCTGCTGAGAACAGTAAAATGTGTAAAATCAAAATTATGATTTCTACCAGTAAAGTGGGGTCTGATCTCAGAGAATATTCTGACAGGCACAGAAGAGGACCTGAACCTTCACAATCATCAACTGGAAACATGGATGCTGTGGCCAAGGAAAAAATCAGAAGTACTGAAGGAGGATTTCATGCATCTGCTGAATAAAGCTGAAGGTCTCAATATCAAGTGTTTCTCAGTGGATTCAGTGTTTCTTGCTTTTATGCAGGGACACATGCTCATGTTTAAAGGGCTGCAAAATGTTTGTGCCTTATTGAGTTTGAGATTTATTAGTTATTTTTGAATATTTTTGGAATAAGTACACCTTTACAAGAATGGGAATTTCTGTTTTAGCTGAACTGGAACTAAATGTCTTACATCTAAAGTGTTTTCTGTGATCTATCTACCAGCAGCCTTGACCCTAACGAGAGAACATTCAGAAATAACAATGATGAGGCTGCCACATTGTTATGTCACCTGGATAGGTCTAGGAGGTATAAGGGACCAGCATACATTTAACAGGGAATCAAGGAAACAAAAAGGCATTTCATTTTATTCTGCCATATACAAACCTACGAAGTAACCTGTCTAACAAGCACATAAACAGGAAAAAGCTGGGGTTAAACAAAAGGAAGCCCTGTCCTACAAAAGCTATCTGAGCAGGTATACTTGGAAGCAATTTAACAGCCCCATTAGATGCTACAACAACCACAGAGGTACGGCAGACAAATGGCCCTGTAGTACAGTTTCACAGGCCTTAAACAGTGTACAGGTGATCTTAATTGGGCTGAGACTCAGGATGCAGCATCCAATCTTAGAGGCGGAGCCTAAAACAGAGCAAGGCTTTACTTTGGTGTGAAAAACAAAATTACATCCAGCTTGGGGATTTAACACACATTCACTACAGCTCCTACTGAGACAGAGATAAGCAGGTAGATGGCTCAGAGAAGTTAATGGAAAAAAGGTCTTTACAGTGACTTCTGTAGGACAATAGGAGTCCGACATTAAACTTCCCCAGACTGATCCCATTAAACCTGTCACCCCACACCCTGACGCGGATCAAGGGCCCCCTGAAAATTCAACAGGAAACATCAGATTTATTTTATTTTTTGCCAACATTTATTGTCATTACACTGTCACAATTGCAGAACAACAAAATAAACTTTCTGCACCTGGGGAGCTGTGTGGGGATAAGGGTCTTGCTTTAAGGACCAAGAGTGGCAGTTTGTGGGAGAGGAGCTTGAACTTAGAACCTCAGGATTCAAAGTGCAATGCCCTAACCAGTAGGCCGCCACTCCCCAAAGCAGGCATTAGCCTGAAGGGTCTTGCCTAAGGACCCAAACTGTTAGCTCATTGCCTCAGCTGGGATATGAACCCAGGCTTCCTGTTTGCAGGATGAGGGACTTTGAGCCAGCCGCTAAAATCAGATCTCCCCATTGAGATTTTTTTTTTCCTTTTTGTCTCACCTAACTTCACTGACAATATGAAAGTTTAAGAGTGGAACCCAAACAGCCCCCTGGCCCAAAAGCCCTGCTACTAAATCAGCATCCTCCAACCATAACACAGCATTGTTTTTAAAAAAAAGAAATTGTGAATCACGTCCGCTTCTTGTTGCCAACACTAGACCCCAGATATCTCAAGATAATAAAAACAACAAACAACTGGGGCTAAAGATTAAGGAAACATATGGATTTGAAAAGGCAAACATGCCTCACATTTGAATGCTAAAACAGGCGGACTCTGTAACTAGCTAGATTACCTATAGAGACGTCTGGGTTCACTGGATCTCATTCAACATAAGGGGCTCAGAATGTCAGGCCATACCAGTGTTCAGGATTTTTATTTCTAAAGACAATTTATATTTATAAATGTATTCTATTATATACTATTGAGAAAAATCCTGAAAGGACACATTCAAGGTTGTGTTGCCAAATAGGAAGAAGCTTAGTGGGGTTGTAAACTTTTGCAAAGTTCTCTGTAACATTTTGCATGGCCTTCACAAGACATGTGCGCTGTTAAAATTCAATCAATGAAATATAAAAAAAAAATTAATCAGTTAATGCATCTTGTAGGATTCATGATAATCTTACAAGATGTATATCAATAATGTTCTCCACAGTAAATTAGAGGCAGTTTTGTTGTTGCTAAAATTATTTTGTAATAGTGCCCAATAAATGGTGTAAAGATTTAATTCTCAGTTAATTCTTAGTACAGTTCTCATTCATGAAGAAGAACTGAGGGTGGAGCTGATTATTTGTTCCCTCTGCTTTTAGAATTACCATAGAAAATGAGTGCATTATGGATCAGTGTGCTTTATTCATCTCATTACTACCACCAGTATGGTTACAATTGTTATTTGGCTCCATTTTACATTGAGCTATAATAACTAGTGTCCCTCCCTCTGGATCTTAAAGTATATCTTCAGATTTCTTTACTTTCTTTTCAAAAGCTGTGGCTTTAGTCCCATTTTCTAATTGTACAGAAACAGTAGAACAAAAACCCAATTACTGACCAATTATCAATTTTATTTCTACAAAAACAATACAGTATTGTGCTTCATAAGGAATAGCTTTCTCAGAAGCTGGAACATATGAAACTAAACATAAAACATTTCTGTAGGCATGTTGAAAATTCAAAACATAGTCACAAACTTGTTTTTTCAGACACCAGTGTGAAATGACAACTCACCATTTTAATCCTTAATTTTAATCCACACCCCATCAGTTTAAGTAAAGCCAGGGCTAGTAACTGCCCTCGCCTGGTCAACAGAAGGCATTACAGGAACAACTGTTTATCCAAAATCTCTGAAACCCTGATTTGTCCTTCAATTTTGAAAAAGGACAAATAGAAAGACAGATAAAAAAGGGGACCAATGTCTGAACAGCGTGAAAAACAGACCGTTGCTCTTTCACTTTTTATTTAGTCTTATATTTGGTTAGTATTTAAGTCCAAATAACCCTTTTGTCCTTATTTTGTATAAAAATAAGAAATATTTTTAAAATTAAAATTGTGCTGTTCTCTCACATTATTTTCTACCAAAAATGTTATGGAAACATTTTGAGGCCATGTTAATATTATATAAAATTTACCAAGTTTATTCTTGTGTAAAAGAACACAGTTGGACAAATCAGAAGCTGAATATATGATATAAATCAGTTAAATAGCCAAATAAAACAGAATTGTTGCATTTTTTTTCTTTTTTTTTTGCAGTTCTTCTTTTATTGTGTAAAAGTATGATGCACTTAAAATGTCATATGCTTACAACCAGTAACGGCAATGGATTTTACTTGGATTATATGTGGTGGGCCCATAGAGAGAAAAGCATATTTTGAAGTACAAATTTACCTTTTTAATGTTTTTATTCTCTTAATGAAACGTTCTTTTATATCAAACCCCTTTTAATCTATTATGCTTTATTCCAAGAATAACTCAGCTGTTCTGATAAGGTTTAAGAGGTTTGTTAGAAGAGAAATGGTTTCATAAGGTCCAAGGAATATGACGTTATGAAGAAGTTATAAAGCATACTACTGTATGGTGTCCAATAGTATCAACCACCATAATCTGAAAATGGAATAAAAAAAACGCAAGAGATTTAGCACATGGAGCATATTTAAAGAAAAGAAACCCAAGAACTACAGGGGATCTGCAGAGATCACATGGGGCAATGCAACACAAAAACTGCTTGTGCAGCTGAAAAAAAATTGCTCAGAAAAACTGCATCTTGGCCTCTGTGCTGGAAAAGCACTAACAAAGGACATACATACAGAGCATTTCTGGACGAAAATCATTTAAGAGGCTGCAACAGACCAGCCTAAACATGCAGCCACAAATAAAAATAAAAGGGTTAACATTAAAGCAAATATGTGCTGAAACTGAAGTGAATGTCCAGACCTAAATTACATCAATCTGGAGGAAAGGCTGTTGTTGCTGGAGCCTCTGTCCAATCTGAAATTTAACCATTTTGCAAAAATAAAAGCAGAAAACAGAGTACAGATTTTTAACTTTGATAGAGAAATAACCCCAGAAGACCTAAAGAATGACCAGGAATGGTGAGGTGTATTTGTTAAAGAATGTTTTTTAATTTCCATGTATTTTACATCTATGCTTCGCTAGATCTTGGTATCTTGAACAAATACATTGATTTCAGTGATTGAACGGAGGCAGAATAAGCCTTAATTCTTGCAAATAGTTGTGCAAGGCACTTGATATCAAGGAGGGGGCTTAATTGGTTGGAAAGAACAAAACTTAGCAAAGCTTAACGACCTTCTCCACCCTCCATCTAGGAAAACCCAGCACTTAAAAGCCTTAATTCATCTTTTAAAATTTTCAGAACTGCATTAGCAACTAAAGGTTGTAATAACACAAGTACACAGTATTGTTACAAAATAGATCCATCAATAACATGATGGTAGAAGGTGAGTGGTTCCACTTACAGAGAGTGACATTTCATGACATTTAGTCATTTTACCACAGCCAAAAATAAAGCATAACCACAGATAATAGAAAGGTCAGTTCCAACGACATGCAAAGCCTTGATATTCAAAAACAAACACAGGATCAAAACGCTTCAATAAAGGCGCATCAGACCGTTTTATATCAAACAGACAGATACCTGGACTTGGATGGAAGTCCACATCTTAACGTTACGATAGTGCAAGTTAAACACAGTTGTATCCGAGTTAAGGACAACATGGTGAGCAGCTAAAAGAAGCATTGGCAACCAAAAAGAAGGCAAAATAAAAATAGCAAACTCCTAAAGGAAAACAAACATCTAGATGTTGAAAACATGCAACATCAATAAACAAATCAGTAACTGGCAAATAAAAGGCAAAGGTGAGATAAAGCCACGCAATAAATGATTCAAATCTCCATATAGGAGTACTTATGAAATAGCTGCAGCTTGCTTTGTTAAACCTGTGATACCCTGCACCATTTCTGCATCCCATGACTGCTACAGTGGAAGTGAGATGCTACAACCTGCTGATTTTATTGCTATACAACCGGATATTATTGGAAGGAGGGCTGTAGACCTGCTGGTTATCTTTAAGTGTATTATTCCCCTGTCTTTATGCGACCCGATACGCCCTTATGCGGGTGTAGTGATTGCGGTGACTTCTGGCTGCCCAGATGAACAGCGCGGCAGCCATCATCTGCAGAGGGAAGGAGATAAGAGCCAGGTAGAGAGACCACCCCATTGACCAGTCAACCGTGGCTGAAGGTTTGTAGCTGTAGTGGAACAGATCCATGTTGGCCCGGAAACAGCAGACTGTTCCCAGAGAGCAGAGACCTGGTGATGGCATGGGAATAAAATATACGTTTGTTGGATGCAGTCACTTGTTTCCAGTTAATAAAATCTGTTATCCTAAAAGCTGTGGTTTCATTAAGTTAAAAAAATAATCAAGACAGTTGACTTCAAAGAAATTAAACTAATGATACCAAGATGAAATAGAACTGCGCCGAGTTTAAAAGAAAATTGAGGCTTCGAACTCAGAACCTCAGGATTCCAAGCTCTATGCCCAAACTACTAAGCCTACTTATTTTTAATGATTTACATTGTGGATACATATCTAAATAAATCTATGTAGCAATTAAATCAAGAATATAATCAGAATTTGAATTACATTTTTAGTAATCAACCCTAAAAACTAGGGATATCGACAACGGATGGCCCTTTGGAGTATAGAGGATAAGGGTGCATTTCTCTCACCTGCAATAAAATGAAGCACTCCCACACCCAGAGTAGGTGTGAAGCTGCGGCATAGGCAGGCACAGACCCCGATGAGCCCGCTGAGAAATACCAGAGCCAAAGACACTAAGGGCAGGAGAAACTGGCACCTCCACAGGTCTGCACCGAAGGACAGCAACTCATTAACTACATCAATTTCTGGTTCAATTAAACAAACTGTTATGTGCAAGCCAACGCTAAGCTAAAAGTAGTTTAAAGGACAAATAAAATAGTTAAAATGTTCACATTAGAGTTTGTGGTGTTTGGTTTTTCAGCTTACATGTTCTCAGCAGATCCTCTTCTTCTCCTTTGGTCTTTGTTTTGAACTGCTGAGGAAGGGTAAAGCTCAAACATTGGGTCTCCATCTTAGGATCTAAAGTGAAAGGAAGAGGGAAATGATCGATCCAGCTGTAGGCCTTCAATATCAATGCATAAAACAGGCTGGGAAACAAAGCTGGCAAAGAAGGTCAGATGTATTAATGGTTTTATTATTCTTTGCATAAGCAGGCGTTTTTAAACAGAGCATCACATAACTTCAAATACAGAGAAAAAAAAACTAAACAAAAACAGCCCCTACCATCCAAATGACATATTCTGACCCGATCCTGTCCTTCAACCTAAGCCCTTACTCAAGGAGATTATTTTTATTTATTTTTTTTTTTTAATTGTCCATAGAATGGAGTGCAGGATTTTGCTGGCTTTCTTCTTTAAACAGATTGTCATGGTTACAACCCCATTTAAGCTCATCTACTTTTTATAACCCTTCTCTGGTCGAGGTAAAGCCAGAACAGGTTCTACAGTCAAAAAAGCAGATTTTTTGATGAGGAAAACTGTATTTATAGCATAAAAGCAGAATTCTGTGACTGTTCTGATGGTCAGCTTTAATGTGCTGTATTACAAACTACCTGTACATCCCCTGTGATGAGTGCAATCTGGTAGCTGTGTTCTGTCGACGCTTTCATTGTGTGGATGACGACCATCTGTTGATTAAGACACTGGTTAAAACCTTTATCATCCCAACAGGCTTCCTTGTTATTGTTTAGATTTACATATTTTTGCTGCTTTTGGTCTAACTGACACCATGTCCCACAGATGAGATCTTAAAAGCAGAGGTAGACCGATACATCAGCTGGCTGGTATTAGTGTTTTTTGTGTGTTTTTTTTGTATTGGCATCAGCCCGTATGTGCATGCATTCACTGATTTATGCATTCAGCATCAAATACAGGGCATGCAATGCTGCTCCCCTCCATTCAGTATCTATTGATAATGTTTTTTTATTTGTTAAAAGGTGTTTGCCTTTGTTTAAACTGAGACTAGTGCAACATTGTCTCTTTTTTATCATCTAAATGAAAGAAGGAAAAAGCAATATCACCTTCAAATCAGCCCCATATATGAGGGATCGGTTAGAGTGATGTCAAAATAATCTGCATCCCCATCAGCCTTAAAAAAACCTGTATCGGTTGATCTCTACTTAAAAGCATGTTAAAAATGCAATAAATCTAGAATCTCTTCATTTTCTGCTCAAAGTTTGTTTAATAAAAGAATGGAAAATTCAAACAGGACATATTGTCAAATGATGCTCAGACTCTGTTTCATATTTGTGTGTAAATGTGTATTCATATATATATATTCATGTATAACATGTCAGCTACCCTTTCTGTGAGGAAAAAGGATAATTTTATCCAAAAGACAAGAGTATTAGAAATTGCAGTTCTTTGAGGTTCATATAGAACGGTCCAGCATCTTCCTACACCTATGAAAGAGAAAGTACATAGAGCCACCACCATGTTCCACAATTGGTATGGAGCTGTTTTGATGGTGTGCAGTGATTACCCGATTATTCCTGGAAAAAGAACCATCTAAAAAGCAGTTCAGAGGCATTAGTGGGCATGTTATCACAGTACACAGACACACAGACATCTGGAACAAATGGATTCCAAGGACTGGTTTGCAATAATGTCTGCTTGAAATTAAAAAGGACTTTCAACCAAAAAATGTTTTCACTGAAATTGGAGATCTAAATACACATTAATTTAACATTAATGCAACTAGTTTTAGTGTAGAATGAAACAGCAATACCTGGCTCTCTAAACCAATAGGACTGGCTGGGCACCTGGATACACCTCCACCACAGACCCAGGGTCCCATTCAGGCGGAACAGGGGAGTGCTGTATACCTTTTCCTCAAACTCGTCATTGATGAATTGGTCTTTGAGTTGAGTGATGTTTAGGTCCTGTGAGTCAAGCGGGCTGCTGTACTGGAACCAGTGCTCAGTCCCCACAGCAACAGACAGGTAGACAGTGGCAAGCAGACTCAGCACTGAGCCAATAACCAAGGCGGTGGCATAGCGATTGTCCACCATGGTCTCACAGAAAGCTTGGATTGCCTACAAACAGAGGAAGAAAGCACTAATAGATGAGTCTGTTTCCAGCTGTTAAACCACTGCAGCACAACCTTAACACACCGTTCCATTTCAACCCCCTTAGATCAAGTACTTTAGTCTAAAGGGCTCTTGTACTTCACTATAACAGTTTACTACCTTTATCCACAATAGTTGCAAATCAGAAACGCTATTGTTGAACGTTAACTGGAGCATTTTAGACTAGTCTACCAAATAACTGATTTCTACAATATTTATTCCATTTGTAAAAGCTTAAAGAGGGGCAAAAATTTGGCTTTTTAAAATCTTCTATATCCAATCACAAGGTTTACAAGTAGAAAGCAGCAATACCTTTACTGGTAAAATCTGAGCAAAAATATTTTATGTATATATATGTATATAATAAAACAAAGTCTGTAATTTGTTCAATAAATTTAATATGCAAGAACCCTAAAGCATTTTACCAAATATGAGTGCTTTGTCGTTTTTATAATGTGCATGCACAAAGAAATGCAAACAATAAATATTTTGTGACTGTGTAAAGAAAATTAATGACTAAAAAGGGGTAAAAAAAATGCAATGTCATAAAAGGGGTTTATAAAAGGGTACTTGAGTGATACAATCCTTATGATGCATCAATATTTCCAGGTTTTAATCCTCTAGCTGTATTTTTCCATTCAGATCATGTTAAGATGCAGCAAAATTAAAGTTGATAAAAAGATTTAAAATCATATATTATGCCTTATAAAGCAAAAAATTCATATATTATATCATGAAAGAAAAACAAAGTTCATATTAATCCTCCTAAACTAGAGAACTTTGTTGATGGAAAGGGAGTAAAATAGAGAAAACAACATAGTTATGATAATTTAAATCACTAAATTTTACAGAATCGAAGACCTAAATAATCCATTTCTGGTTTGACCATTGAAAGCGTCAATATTTAAGCATAGATATTTAATCTAGAGCGGGTTTAAGGGCACTTTGAATCTTTAGCGTTAGCTAAAGAACCGAAACCGAAGCTAACTTCAGCGACCTGCTAGCCTTGTATGTTGTTAGCGCTTAGCACGTTTAGCTGGGTGTGTTTCAGTCAGTGACCGAGCCTCAGAAGCTTTATTCTGTCCTCATTAAATGTCTTCTGATAACAAGAAAAACAGAAAAACAAAGACAAAATCTACTAAAAGTTTAACACCGCCCAACAATTGACAGCAAAACTGAGGTACGCGAGACCTGTTTTAATTAGCAGCTAAGCAGACGAACAATATAACAACATGGTAACTTCGGTGACTTAATCAAAGTTGGAAAAAACGTAATCAACATTTTAACAAAACAATTAACTAGTCTAATTCAAATGTAATAGAAAATAATAATACTTACTTCAATTGTTTCCTCAAAACTGTGTCTCCATCTTCTTCTTCTTCTTCTTCTTCTTCTTCTTCTTCATGGGATTTTATTAGCGGTTGGAACGCAAAAATGGTGCATTACCGCCACCAACTGGTATGGAGTGTGGATCTGAATGGCGAGTGTTCATACTGAATAAAACAAAATCAACAAAACCAAAATTAGATTTAAATCCTCTCAATTACATCGATTAATCTAAAAAAAAATAATAATAACAACAATTAAATAACACTTAACTCTTGAGTTATTTCAAAGGATTTCTATCAAATGAAAGTGTATTATTTCCTTTTAAAGATTTTTCATTCATACTTCTTATAGTGTACCATAACATGTTCGATTGTCTGTTGTTGCTCACAGTATTCACACCTGCCGGTGTTATGTTTACCTATTTTGAATAAAGTACTGTTTAATCCTGTGTGCCCAAATCTAAGTCTTGATATAATTGTTTCTTCTCTTCTGTTCCTTCCTGCACATCTCATTTCTCCCACTCTCCTCTGAATCATATAAAACCACTGTCCTTTCCTCTCTTCTTTTCATTGCTTTTGCCACATTTCCTTCAGCCTCTGTTTAATGATTTTCTTTATTTCCATCTTACTAATTTTAACTAACACATCCATGGCTTCTCTTATTGTAGCCTCCTTTGCAGCATTTTCATCCACCATTTCATTTTATTTTAACTCCACTATGTGCTGGTACCCATAAAAATATGACTGTAATGCCCATCATTAGAATTCTGTATAATGTTTGCTGGATTTCAATCAAAATATCTGCTTTGCTGAGTGAATTCTCTGTAAACTGATAAGTAATGACGATGAATCTGAACAAATAATCACTCTGGCCTATTTCCTCTACCCGCAAACAATAATTGCTGGCATTTCTCCTGTGTATACTGATATATTATCACTGGTCCTCTTTCCTATTACAATATGAAACTCTGGGACAATAAAATATACTCCTATCTTGTTGAATAAACTCTTTGATGCATCTGTGTATACCTGGATTAAGCTGTAGTAACTATTAATATATGCCTGTATGCAGGGGAGGTGCTTGATGGGGGGCCAGGGGTGGCCATGGCCACCCTTAGCCAAACACTGGTCACCCCTGTGGCCACCCCTACCATGTTTTCCCTCTAATACAGATGGTGGCAGTAGTAATACTCTCAAGTGGAATTTTCAAAACATTTAAATTGTTGTGGTTAATTACACACATCAATATACTAACATCAAAGATGATAAATACAGAATTCCTGTTCTTTTCAGAAGTAGATTTTGTGTTATATGAAGTAAAGAGAAAATTAAGTGTCTCTGCAAGTCATCTAGGAGTCTTCTGTGAAATCAAAGATAAATAACAATTTTAATAAAAACTTATCAAATAATCAGTTCATGTAGATATTAGTACTTGTAAATATACATTTTATGCAGAATGTTTATTGATACAAGTAGTAGATCCAGTTTTATCCACTACACCTTTTATCTAGAAAGCACAAATGTTTAAATATATGCATCTATTTGTTAGCAAAGGCTGTAGGAAAATGTAGTTTGTCTTTATTTTAAAAATATGGATGTTGTGCTTGTTAATTTTCCTGTTGGAACAGTGTAGATTGGCCCTGAGGTTCTGGTGTTGATCCTCTTTCGGCCACCCCTCAGTGTACATTGGTTATTGCCTTGCCACCCTTATAAAGATTTTCTGGCTACGCATCTGCCTGTATTGTATGTTTCTAGTAGAGTAAGATCAACTTTCGCTTCAGGTAGTATGTAAGGTGGTACTGCAGGCAGTGGTACTGTTGGACTGAACTTTAAATAGGTTAATTTGAACTCCATTGCTTTTTGTTTAACTGCCCACCCAAAGCTTTTAGTCTCCCTCTTCTTCATTTCCCAACAAGATTTTAAAGTGCTTTGTTTTGGATGATCTTCACTATGGCCCTTTAAACTGGCCCAATAATTCAGAGATAACTGAATTCTTCTCAACTCAAGAGGCATTTCACCCATTTCCACCTGTACTGCTGCTGCTGGAGTTGTTTTAAAAGCCCCTGTACATAATCTTAAAGCCTGAAACTGGATGTTGTGCAACTTTTTTAGAGCTGCAGATCCATACACCACACACATAATCCAGTACTGATCTAATTGATCCACAGTAAATTGCCTTCAATGCTTTTCTCCCCAATCACTTCCCACCAAACACCCTCCTATATGTGTGCAGTACTTTCTGGATATGTACACCCCATGTTATTCCCTCATCAAACCATAACCCCCAAAACTTTAATTGTTTTACTCTTTCTAATTCTTGATTATACATCTTTTACCTTAGTACCAATTATTTTCTTTGTAAAAAAAAAAAAAAACATTCTCTTTGTCTTATGAGAATTTAAAACCCCATTTATATCTCCATCTTCTTCTCTTCCCTCTTCGGGTTTTCAGACTCATTTTCTGGCTGGAAAACAACTTTTTAGTGTTTTAGCGCCACCTGCCAGGCTAAAGTCAGGGCTATTGAGATACGATCTTATCTCTGTGGCTCAAGTTAAAGTATGAATGCTTTAAAATTCCATATTCTTCCAGGAACATTTATTCATTACTCAAAATACGGGCCATCCAGTGTCATTATAGATCCTCTTGGGTAGACTTAGAATTAGATAACTTTTATTGTAATTTTTTCATACAAGTGTATACAAAAGGAAACTTCATTTTGCACAGCTTTTACAACATTTCAATTCCATAAAGTGCAGCAGTGATCAAATGTAAACACTGTGTGTGCAAAAAATGCATTGATATGGAAGTTCAGACCATCAAATATATATGGTGCAATTATGCAGTGTTTGGTTTGTTATTATCTGTGTGATGCAGAGTCTGTGACATGATTTAGAGTTTTCTAAACAGTGTGATGGCAGTGGGGAAACATCTTGGCCTGCATTTAATGCTGGGAAGCCGATTCCCAGAGGGCAGCCGTGGGGATTTAAGGGATCACTGAATGTTACGAGCTTGGGACATGCAGTGGATACATTTTCTAAATAGTTTTTGTACAGGCTTACAAATGGCAAAAATAAAAATGTGTGTTGGTGAATTTTGTATTTATTCTTTTTTTTTTTTAGATTACTTAGAACTGTCTTAGTAAATGTTCTTAGCCTACTAAGCTTTTCCCCCACTGCCATCAGATTGCTGAACTGTTGGGGAAAATAATCTAAATCAACTCGCAAATCGAGACTCTGCATCACACCGTTAACACCAAACCAAAAATAACTCAACCTCAAAAATTTTTTTTTTTCCTACTACATTTTTGCACCATATATTTGTTTTTGCAAATAACCTTGAACCTTAATTCTTTCCCAAACATCTTCCATTGGAAAAAAACTCTTGCCTTTCAGACCCTGGGTAGCCTTGGAGGTATGTGACAGACAGAGTGAATACTATTCTCATAGTTCAATGCAGGAATTGATAAAAAAAAAAGAAAAAAGAAAAAAAAATTACACCTAAGTTCACTCGTTTTGATCATATAATAAACTCCTATATGCCGCTGTTGCCCACTGTGGCATACAGGAGTTCACCAATTTGAAACCCGAGCTCTGTCCAGTTCAGTCATTGTGTTCTTGGGTAAGACACCAAAGCTTCATTGCCTACTGTTGTTGGTCAGTGTACCCCAGCGGAGCTGTGGCTACACTATAGCTTGCCACCATCAGTGTGAGTGAAAGGCTCTAGTGTAAAGTGCATTGGAGTCTTGGACATGATAAATGGCTACACAACTACAGGTCATTTAAACTTTTTTTCTCTCTAGAAAATAATAAAGAATTTTAAATTATAAATTAAATCATAACTGTTTATGATATTATAATAAAATAAAAATTGCAAAACATGTATAACTATAACTAATAGCTTTTTTTTCCTGTTCTAACAATTGCCATAGTGCCCATGGAGGATATGAGGGAAACTGGAATGCACACCTTTGAGATTACCTCACTCCAACTTATTAAAGTTAAGTTCTAAGTATAATAGAACGCACCCATAGACCTACATTTAAGCATGAAATATGTTAGGTTACAGCAGTGGTTCCCAAAGTGTGGGGCGTGCCCCCTAGGGGCCATTGCAGGGGGGGGGGGCGCGGTAAGCGGTATGGATGAATGAAGAAAAAAAAAAAAAGGGCTTGCTTTGACTGAGCATAATGGACAGTTGTGACACTGCAACCCAGATTTGAGAAGATCTACAGCAACAAGCAGGCTCACTACAGCCACTGAAAAGATGGGAGGATTAAAATACAAAGAAAAAACTCTCAGGGAGCTGTTCAATGTTTTCACTCCATTTTGCACAGAGGCTTTTTTAATGTATTGATGATAGCAAAGTTAAATATTGTTACAAATAAAAAAAAAGAAATATGTTTAAAATAACACAGACAACAAAGAATCCTCTTCTAATCTACAGTATAGAACTATGAAAAAAATACAGTTACACAAAAGTGTTCCACTGTAAAGATGGTGTATAGTTTGTTTTGTTGCAACCTGAAGTGTGAAATAAACTTCAGTGGAGTTTGAAAACAAAATATGTGTATAGGTTTATTATATCTGGTTGAACGCTGTGTGTGCCCAGTTGATTTTTTTTTTTTTTTTTTTTTTTTTTTGGGGGGGGGGGCGTGGAAATTTTATTGTAATCCAAAGGGGGGCCCAGAAGAAAATCTTTGGGAACCACTGGGTTACAGTGTTGTTTGTTGGTTTATTATACAAACAATCATATAAAAATACAGTTTCATTGTATCTACAAATCGCAGCCCTATGTGGCAATCTACAACTAAAAGTTGTTGCCCCTTTCTTAAATGAAGTTGGCCTGTTCTGGAATGTACCCATGAAAATAACAAATATATTATAAACAAAGGAAAATAAAATCCTTACATTGACTTCATTGAATTACAACAGTTTTTTACACATTTCTTCACCTAAAAATAAAAAAAATACAATTTTTAACTTTAATGATCTGACATTGGAGAAATTTACCTTTGCATTTAACCCATCTCCTTGGGGAGCAGTGGGCTGCCATTGTGCGGCACCTGGGCAGCAGTGTGGGGTTAAGGGTCTTTGCTCAGAGAGTCAGAGTGGCTGTCTGTGGGAGTGGGTCTCGAACTCAGAACCTCAGGATTCCAAGCACTAACCACTAGGCCGCCACTCTCCCACCTAGTCATTTAAAGTCATATTATACAGAAAACTATAAATATAGAGAGGTGGGAGCCCCTTGTCAATTTGCTCATGGAACACATGCTCTTAACAAATAAAATGTACACTTTAAAAGAACTTGCCATAGTTGATTTACACAATGCTGTTGTAAGAAATATTCATTAAAAATGCTAAAGATGGAAAAAAAAATAGCAGACATTTAGACGGATTCAGAATAAAGAAAAGGTATGGCTAAGTGAAGATAACAAGAATGTGAGGTTAAAATAACAGTCTAAACTCTGCAGGCACATGGTGTTCTGATCCTGGGTGTCACAGTGTGAAACATGGTGGGGACAACATGTTGCCATGAAGATGTTTCCTCTACATAAACAGGGAAGCCATCAACATTTTTGGAAGGATGCATGTTGCTGATTAGAGGGCTGTCCAAGACTTAAGGCTAAGCCAGAAGTTTTTGGTCCCCAATATGCAGGGGTTCAGATCACAGCATATAACAGTGCAAGAAAAACTGAATCAAACACTGAACCTAAATCCATTTAAATATCTGTGTTTGCATTTGTTGCTAAGACAGGCCCAATTTCATCTGAGCTTGAGGTATGTTAAAAAATTAGAAATATATATTTAACTCCAGATGTGGATGTTTTTATATAAAGGTAAAAATCTTCTTAAAAAAATATATGTTTGTGTTTGTAAAGTGACAAAATTAGACAAAGTTTAATTGAACATCGTCTAAGTAATTCCATTTAATCAAATTTCTTAAATCAACCCACTTTAACCATCTGGTTGAGGTTGTTTATATTACTTAAATGTAAAAAAAAAAAAAACTTTGCCCTTTCAAAATAAATACAAATTGGTGGCATAAAATCTGTAATTGTGTTTCCATATCCTCCTAAATATCTTCCAGTTCAACAGGCAGAATATTTGTCTCTTTTTAAACAGACGACCTTCTGAAGAACCAGAATCACAAACCTTCTTCCTGAACCAAATCGCTTTCGAATTTCATCATTCTCAAAGTAACACTGCTAAAGAGTGAATGTGTAAAACAAATTTAACTTATTCTTTTAAGCGTTGTCATTCTTTTCTCAATGCTTAATCATCATTCTTTTAATTTTATAGATTGTATGCATATTAACAGGCACATCTTGTAACACAATGAAAACTACTTGATAAAGGACAGCTTTCCAAGGTAAAAAGAAGAATAAAGAATGAAATATTCCCTGAATAATCAGTTACCACAGCTTTAATTGCTCGTAATCCCTTTAAGAAGAGTGTTTGGGTAAATCTTACAATAAGGTGGTGCAAAAAAACAAATATTCATCCCTTTCACAAAACAACATTTGATTCCAGGCTCATACATTGAGTCCTAAAGGTATTCCTGAAGTGGAGAGGAAAGGCCCCTTATTGTCAGAGGAAATCTTTAGAAAACAGTCTCCTGTGCGGTTTGTGTTCAGAGACAGTTGCAATGAGAACCGGGGTGGTTGTAAACTCAACAGTGCATAACTGGGAGCTGCATGGATCGACTTCCAGCTCCAGGACAGTCACATTGTTTGGTGCTGCTGTGCTCAGGATGCTGGCAGGCACAAAAAGTGTCACCTGAGGACCTCGAGCGGGCCAATAACGCCCTAAATTAAATCCATTGATCCAGATCTGCCCCTAATGAAACAAATATAGGATTAGTTCCTCTATAAGATGTTGAGAAAAACAGATGCAAATCTATAGAAGGGCTGTTGAACTTCATGTCTTCCTTAAATATGATGACCTTATTTGATTTGATTAAGTAATCCAACAAATAGCTTGAAATAAAATGTGTATTTTTGGGTTAGTCACCTTCTTCCAGCCTGGCAGCTTGACATAGGTGTCTTGAGGGAGGTCAGGAATACCGTAGGGAATGATAAAGCTCCCCTTATAGAAGGCTGGAGGTGAAAGAGCCACAGGTGAAGCTTGATCTGTTCGTGTTGGAGGTTCCTCGCCAAGGAGGCCGTTTCTGACTGCTTCGTCGATGCTGAGACTATACATGGTCCAATGAGTGAGGGAGTCTTTTCCCAGAGTAACATTTGAGACCAAGCCCTTTCAGGAGAAAATAATTAATTAAAAAAGTACCAATGATCCTAAATGCATTCAGTGGAGAGGTCTAAATGTGATCCAAAGGTATTAACTCAGGTGCCTGATAAAGATTGCTACAAATGTTATGTGAGACTTCCTGAAAAGAAATCTGTCAAATCAAAAGAAATTGAATGTGAGAGATTAAAGCATCTGAATCGTCCTCCATGAGTAAATTAACTCACAATACTAATGTAGACCATGCAATACATATGAGCAGCATGTATGTAATGGTAATAAAAACCTTGAAGTCGTTGATGTCTCTGCCATAGTTGATGCGGCCCATGTTCTCCACCAGTATGTCAAGCTGACTCCCAGCCTTTCCAGCCACGTTCACACTCAAGACCTTGTTCCTTTCCAGAATCCCAACTGCCACCTTAGGAATGAGTTTATATTAGTATACTAACAACAGAACATTAAAAATTACTAAATGTATTCAATGTTTTTATCCTAGAGTCAAGATTGAGGAAAAAGGGGTTTTAAACGTTTGTTACTTCTCATTTGCTGCTGTTTTTTTATTCTTTTATATGAGATTTGGTGCAAGTAGCTGATTATACAGCACCTGTACTCGCTTTTAGCAGTATAAACACTCTCATTGTCTATAATGGGTGTGAATATGCTGCACAGTTCATGCAGGAGTGAGGACAGACGCAGTGTTAAGCAAAGAACTAGTTTGCAGGTTCTTATTTGCTTAGATTCACATAAGTGCTAATTTAAACTGATAAAATGATTAAATCCAACACATCCAACACAAGCAAAGCAGACCTCTGCTCTCCAGCCTGGACCCACAGAGAACGATTTTATCAACTATGGACCAGAAAGCCCTTTACCACTGCTGCACAAAAGTCATTAACCAACGACACCTTCAGAACCGGCAGGTCTGCATCTGGACTGAAAAACTTAATGGAAAAGCACCCAAGTGGAGGACTTTATACAAGCCTCTGATAAAAAAAACGAACCAGTGATCTCCAATGGAGGATTATACACGGCACCATCGCCACAATCTATTTTTTATCCGTTATTAATCGGGGTGTTTTAAACGAGTGTCCTTTCTGCGGTCTGTCTGAAAACGTGTTCCACGTTTTTACGGAATGTGCAAGGCTAAAGACTATTTTTAACCTTTTTATTAGTGTTTTTAGTCTTTTTGGGACGTTTTTTACAAAAGCTGTTTTTAATAGGGGGAAGTTTGTCAAAACAGAAGGAATAAGCCAAGAGCAAAGATGGCCATTTACCTGTCCCGTAGAGACATACTGCAGGAGGGATCTCACCTTGATGCTGTGGCTTTGTGGAAGTTCAACGTTAAAGTGGAGATATACTTCCACAGAGCCACACAGAACATGGAGGATTTTATTCAGTTGTGGAGTTTTAAACATATTTTATGTAATGTGTCAGATGATGGAGATCTACATTTTAACAAGCTCCTCATTTAATGATTTTTATTGGACAATTGTTTGTATGTTTGAATTGTGTAAATAAAGTGTTGTTAAAAGTAAAAAAAAAAAAAAAAACAGTATTTTCTTACACGTCACAATATATAAAGACAAAAACAACCTTTTGCTGCGGGCATAGAGGATCTGGTAATGAACAAAAGGACTCACCCTATCCACTGACACATACGCCCTGTCATGGATCCCGTTCAAAGGTGAGGACAGAGGCGTGGGTTGGCTGCAGTTAACAGGAAGTTTCGTCCTGTAGAGAACAAAACCAAAGCCCTAGAGAGAATCAAAATATAATGATTATGAGGAAAAAAAGTCCTTAAAAAATTGAATTATTGAGAATGTAAGTGCCTGAAGGATACCTGATTCAAGTCTGTGAAGGTCTGAGGATAGGTGCTTTTCACTGGACCTGAGAATGACAGTGTCTCTGTAGCATCCAACACTGTCTGGAGCTGAAGGCGACAAAACAACAACACTCCCTTAACTATCCTTCAGATTTTAAATAGCTAAAGTCAATGTTTTGTGCAAAATTAAAAAAAGATCCTAATACACTAAAGGCCTGTAGAGAGAATTCATTCACTGAATGCTTACCTTCTTCATTTTAACAGAACCGTACGCATACTTTGGTGTTGTTGGTGGAATCGGTCCCTCGGGTACTTTACTGTACTGTTTTAGGAATACACAGAATGTATTCTAGTCACATCTACAAACTAGGACAAACCCCCATAGCAAAGCTTAGATATTCAGCTGTATACCATTCTGATGACGTCTCTGATGGCAAAGTATTTCTCAGTGAGGTCTCCTGCCTCTGAGAGTGGAGCATCGTAGTCGTAGCTTGTGGGCTGTGCAGCGTACGGAGAGTTTGCCCCTGGTGGCATTAAAACACAACATTAAGATCCCAGAAAAGCTGCTGGAAAGCTGCTTCATGCTAAGTGCACTTACCATTCCAGTAGCCAAAGTTTGACCCACCTATAAACATGTACCTGCAGGTGAGGAATGTAAAATAAAAAAAAATAAAAAACAACTTTAATATAATTTACAATGCCTTAACATTACAACCCCAATTTTACAAGGTAAGAATATTCTTTCAGCACAGGATCTCTATCTAATTATGATTAACACAAAAAATGTGTTTGAGGTCTGCTGCTGTAGTTTTTCAGTTATTTTGGTTCCCTCTGCTGTCAAAGCTCTACTATCAGGGGTTTGATTTTCTAACAGAGAACCTCAGTGAGGCTGCATAGGGACAACATTTTCAGTCCTGTTGATTTGTAGTAAGAATGTCTGGGGTTTGATTGCCAGCTTTGGGTTATTTCCACATTGAGTTTGTATGTTCTTCTTTTCTCTGGGAACTCCAGCTTCCTCAATCAGTCTAAAAATATGACTGTTGGGTTCATTAGTGTGTCTAAATCTATGTGTTTATGAGTGCATGGCTGTATGTCTCTGTGTTAGAGACGGACAGGTGACATTTTTGCCCAAAGAGACTGCTGGTGTGTTAGAAAATGGATGGAATTTCAGGGGAACAAAGGTCAAAGCTTCACCAATGTAAATAAAAATGCCAATAAATCAATAAAACTAAGAGGATTCGGTTAATGACTTCACTGTTTTAAGGTAATTTCCTCTTCTGTTTTTGAGGTCAACACAGTAGGTAATGTCATTAGTATTTATCTACTAGTATTTTTTCTTTTCTAACATACATTCGAGTGCTTCCATAGGTTTTATGTGGAGAAACCGGCCTACACTGAGTTCTGACATTAACCTTTTAGATTACCTTTTTGATCAACTATAGCAGCAGCTTGGATTCTTGTTTTCTCATCTAACTATGAACAAACTCCCAAACATTGTAAATCTTAAATAATAGTTAAAGTTGCCCCTGTTCAGAACAGAGGTCAAACATCAAATTTGACCCATTAGATTAAGAATAGGATGTCAAAGTTGATGTAAAAGCACATGACCAAATGTTTTTGACAATAAAGTGTATCTACATTATTTACTGTAAGTATTGGTTGGAGGAGATAAATGATGAAAAGAAATCTAGAGGATTGTTTTTCCTATACAAATGTATTATTTCATAATTTCTATTTTGGGTATTTTTAGATCTTTAAAATGTCAGAATATAAAATGAAATTCAATTCAAAACTACTTTATTAATCCCAAAGGGAAATTAAATGTTGCAGTAACCTACTTTATTTTTGTTCAAATTTTTTTTTAACTGGACGCTGTTGGGGCCACTTCATCCAAGGGCGCCCCATTACATTTTCTCCCTGCTGGTGTTCCTTCCAGCAGAGGACTACTTAGTTGAGCAAGTTGTTGTTAGTTTTGTTTCTCTTGCATGAGTACAACCTTTGGTTTCTCTACCCACCTCTGCAGGTTGAAAACATTAGAGCTGCTGTTAGAAAAATATAAATGTGCAATACTATTTTTGAAAATTGCAATGACATTTAGCTAAAAAGCTATCTTTTCCCAGTTAATTTAACTACCAAAAAGTGTCCCTAAAGATCTGTGTGACTCTTAGCATGCCCTCTGGTCTCAAAGTTGTTCATTGAACCTAGGAGGGCTATCTTAGGCCATTCAATCTATCCTTACATCAACCAGTGCCTCTCATAAATAGCTTAAGTGCTTTTGATAACCAATGTCTGCATGTTGGGAATTTACATAAGTCCTACCAGCAGGTGGTATAAGTAAGATCAGAGTCATGTGCAGGCACATTGGCTCCTTCCATAATAGACTCTAATAAATCTTTTTTTGCTCTGCTTCTCTATACTGCTGACTTCTTTTCACTCACATGTTAACATTTGCTCCTATAGCCAACATATGGCTGAGGGACTTTGCCACCGCAGCAGATGACACAACAGAATGACGGGATCCCCAGTGGTCCAGCCAGCCGGTGTAAAACTCAGAGTTCACCTGTGGAAAAACAAAGAAACACGTGTTTTATCCTCTGCTGTGTGGGTCACTGTTAAAATGTGTGCAAGGAGGAGATGCTTACTAGAGGTCCCTTTGGTTCAGCGTATCGCTGGGCTTGAAAGGCAGCAGTTATATTAGCACCTAGCAGGAGAGAAAAGGTCCAGAATAGCAATGTCTTATTGTGCAACTTCCTCAGAAAGTCTGATCATACTAAAATGAGACATTGAGTCAGAAGAGAGAAACAAACTAAACACCCAACATGTGCACAAACCGGCTTCTCTTTAATAACTGTATTAAAACATGATGCGCTTTTGTTTTACGGAAGAAAAATATTAATTGGAAAGTACAAGAGCTTACCAGGACCAAAGTCTACAGTGGCATAGAGACCTTGCATTGAGCCACACTTTAGATAGTTCACCCCGGCACCGTCTGTGGTGAAGAGCACCACCTCGTCTCCCAGGTGAGCTCTAAACAGTTTGCTCAGGTGACGCATGTAGTTAAAGTCACAGGCAAAGTAGCTGCCATATTCATTCTCCACCTGTTGATAAAGGATGTGGCAGTGTTTTTATCCTCCTTTAAAGCAAAAACAAGGTGTTTTTTTCCCCATACAATGGCCATGCACTGTAAAAATTTGAATCTAAATAAGTCATTTTTTCCAGTCCATCAAATCAGAATTTAACAAGTGAGATTTTCAGGGAAATAAACAAACCTACAGCCACACAAACCCTCCAACATATTTATAAGTGGGTGGGAAGTTTTTCCTATTTTAAATAACCTTATTTAGTACAAACCCTCTTGGATTGTCAGTTGCAGAAAAGATCAACGTAAAATAAGACCAATACATGCTCTGTATATTTGTTAATACTCAGGGCTGCAAAAAAATAAAAATAAAAAAAATCAATTTTTTCTTACAGTTCTGAGGCCTGTCACAAAATAAGATAAGGGATTAATCTGGGATTTAACAGATATATCTTGGCTTAATAAAGCCTATATTCAGTTCTGTAAAAGCATTAACACATAAGTTGCCATGGTGACTTATTCTCTAGAGCTGTTAGCTACAGACCAGGCTCACAGCAGGCTTATTCAGATCTGCTGCCTTATCTGTTCAGTCAGTGTCACAAAGATCACAAATCATGGAGGGTGGTCAGTGACGCCATTACCTCTGCTTTATGTTTTGGTATCTTTTATCCACATAAATTAAAAACCACTAATAGGTTTTAATATTTAGTGAAGTACTGTAATTACTTTTAAATTATTATGGCAGGCTAAAACAATTTAACCTGATGGTTTTTATGTGGAAATTGCTACTGTTTATGATTTTTGCAGACTGCTTTTATACTGCTGCACTTTAGAAATGGAAATATCTTGGGAGCTGTACTGAATGAAATTTCATTTTATTTACACTCTGTGTTTACAAAATGACAATAAAGTCTGTCTAAGTTCTAAGTTTGGCAGAAAAGCCTTAAATAAATGATTGCTTGTGTAGAAGAGATTAGAGAAATGGCTGATGAAGAAGCAATAAAAGCAGCTCCAAAATGGCGTCTTCCTTTACGAAGGTGCGTCCATATTTGAATTCTTCCTGAAAGTCAACGTTTGAAATGGTATCTTCTACCTGTGCAGACTGCTGCGCACTCAACCGAGCCATGATTGTTAACAGAGATGATCTGTGTTGGGCTCAGTAGTTTATGTGGAAAACTATCAGAGGTGCGTATAGCGGCTCAGTTGAACACAGTGTGGACCACCTCCCTGCAGTCACAGGGGGCCACCATGTTTACCAATCATTCCTCATCTGCATGTTGAAGTATTTGTCTGAAGTTCAAACCAGAAATTTATTTAGTTTTTGCTTGAAGAACAATTATTAGAATATCTGCTTTTTGTAGAGATACCTTTAAAACGTTTTTTATTCACTAGTTTGAATTTGTTCCAATAAACATCCTGAAACACTCTCATATAAATATACAATCTTTAGCTATGTACACATAGCTAAAGCTAAGCGAACAATTCCCTTTTAACAACACATGCTACTATCAACTTAATAAATGGAATACATCTCAGGGACTGTAACAACCTTTCTGTAAGAAAATATAAATATTTATTTCCTTAATATTCTCCGTCTCTCTATTAACGATGTGCTGCTTTAGAAAAAAAAGGAAATAAATCATCTTTCCATACATTTGAATGTTTTTAATGCACATTAAACAATTTTCACAGGGAGACTATTAAGTTTGCATTGGGCTGCGTAGTTATAATAAAAATAAAAGTACCTGTACAGTGATGATGGGACCACCGTTCTGATAGAGGTATAGCTTCATCATGGGCAACAGCTTCCCCATCCATTTGTCTACGGCTGCAATGTAATCTGAAGGACATACAAATTACAGTTTTGAGCTTTTAGGAGTTAAGAAATGTTCCCAGCATTCCTAAATAGACGTGTCATCTGCTTACCTGGGTCAGACGATCGCAGCACAATGTTTTTCTTGTTCAGAAGCCAAGCAGGCAGACCGCCCTAATTGGAAGAATAATATAAGTAATTAGAAATAGAAAAAGAGAAGAAATATACCCACTGATTAATAACTTTACAGCTCAATCTGAATTACAGAAGAGCCGATATTGAAAAGTTTTACTTTTCTTTATTATATTACAAACTGTAATACAATAAAGTTTGAAATTACAATATTTATTATATTACAAAGCCCAACTATTTCAGTGGGATTTCTGTCACCTTTCCATCAACTCAAACAACATCCCCACAGCAAAATGATGCCACCCCCATGTTCTCCTCAGAGAAAGCGACACTTAATGTTAGACTCAGGTGTAAGTTTAAACTGAAACACAACTTGTGTTGGTCTATATCACATACAAATCCAGAGCAATACAGTGGTGTTTATAATGTGGCAAATTATAAAAGAGCTCCAGCAGTATGAATGCTGACGTCAACATACAGAGAATGTGAATGAACGGGTGTATTTCACCCCAGTAATGTGTGTTTAGTTAAATCCTGCCAAGAACTGCTGCAACATTAAAACATTGAGGCTGACAGAGATGCAGCAGCTCAGATTAATTGTTGTAAAGGGAGCTAAACAGATAAGAAAAGCAAGTTTGGAGTTGTTTGACTAAAGTCATTAAGCATTACCGTATATTACATGTATTCTGTAATGATATGATATTTTAGATGTTAACATAAATAGATTTAAGGAAGTACAAGACAATATTGCTCTGAACCCCTTTAAATAAAAGCATGACAAATGGACAAAACAAACAGAAAAAACACAATAATTTATTAAAACTAAATGTAATTGGAAGCAAGCCAGAAGCTATTGACAGAACCTGAACCACATAGGACCAGTTTTCAATTTTCTCTATCAGCTTATATTGCGCTCCAGTCATCTAATCTACAGGTGCTGGTCATAAAATTAGAATATCATGAAAAAGTGGATTGATTTCAGTAATTCCATTTAAAAAGTGAAACTTGTATATTATATTCATACATTACATACAAACTCATATATTTCAGATGTTTATTTTGTTTAATTTTGATGATTACAAATGACAACAAATGAAAATCTCAAATTCATCATATCAGAAAATTAGAATATTGTGAAAAGGTTCAAAATTGATGGCCCCTGGTGCCACACTCTAATCAGCTAATTAACTCAAACCACCTGCAAAAGCCTTTAAATGGTCTTTCAGTCTAGTTCTATAGGCTACACAATCATGGGGAAGACTGCTGACTTGACAGTTGTCCAAAAGACGACCATCGACACCTTGCACAAGGAGGGCAAGACACAAAAGGTCATCGCTAAAGAGGCTGGCTGTTCACAGAGCTCAGTGTCCAAGCACATTAATAGAGAGGCGAAGGGAAGGAAAAGATGTGGTCGAAAAAAGTGTACAAGCAAGAGAGATAACCGCACCCTGGAGAGGATTGTGAAACAAAACCCATTCAAAAATGTGGGGGAGATTCACAAAGAGTGGACTGCAGCTGGAGTGAGTGCTTCAAGAACCACCACACACAGACGTATGAAAGACATGGGTTTCTGCTGTCGCATTCCTTGTGTCAAGCCACTCTTGAACCACAGACAGCGTCAGAAGCGTCTTGCCTGGGCTAAAGAGAAACAGGACTGGACTGCTGGTGAGTGGTCCAAAGTCATGTTCTCTGATGAAAGTAAATTTTGCATTTCCTTTGGAAATCAAGGTCCCAGAGTCTGGAGGAAAAGAAGAGAGGCACTTCATCCACGTTGCTTGAAGTCCAGTGTAAAGTTTCCACAGTCAGTGATGGTTTGGGGTGCCATGTCATCTGCTGGTGTTGGTCCATTGTGTTTTCTGAGGTCCAGGGTCAACGCAGCCACATACCAGGAAGTTTTAGAGCACTTCATGCTTCCTGCAGCTGACCAACTTTTTGGAGATGCAGATTTCATTTTCCAACAGGACTTGGCACCTGCACACAGTGCCAAAGCTACCAGTACCTGGTTGAAGGACCATGGTATCCCTGTTCTTAATTGGCCAGCAAACTTTCCTGACCTTAACCCCATAGAAAATCTATGGGGTATTGTGAAGAAGAAGATGCAATACACCAGACCCAACAGTTCAGAAGAGCTAAAAGCCACTATTAGAGCAACCTGGGCTATCATAACACCTGAGCAGTGCCACAGACTGATCGACTCCATGCCACGCCGCATTGCTGCAGTAATACAGGCCAAAGGAGGCCCAACTAAATACTGAGTGCTGTACATGCTCATACTTTTCATGTTCATACTTTTCAGTTGGCCAACATTTCTATAAATCCTTTGTTTTTATTGGTCTTCAGTAATATTCTAATTTTCTGATATGATGAATTTGAGATTTTCATTTGTTGTCATTTGTAATCATCAAAATTAAACAAAATAAACATCTGAAATATATGAGTTTGTATGTAATGTATGAATATAATATACAAGTTTAACTTTTTAAATGGAATTACTGAAATCAATCTACTTTTTCATGATATTCTAATTTTATGACCAGCACCTGTAGAGCTGTTCAGAAACTAAGAGATCTGCCCTCTGCTCTGAGTTCAAATAAATTTAATTCAGATTCAATTTAGTTTTTTGTTATATAGTGCCAATTCACACACTGCAAAAACGATATAGAAATAAGTCAACATTTCTTAAATTAAGTGTATTTACCTTTCATTTGAGTAGATAAATAAGATGATTTGCCAATGGAGTGAGTATTTCTACTCCTAAAACAAGATAATTAGATAATATGCACTTGAAATAAGACAATGCAATAGCTTTTTTTTCTTATTTTAAATGTAAATTGTCTACCTCCTCTATTCAAGCAAAAATTCACTTATTTTAAGAAAAAATGACTTAATGAGATTTCAATTTTTTCCAGTGCAACGTGTAATCTTAAGGAACTTTACAGAGACAAGACTGTCAGATTGGTTTGGAAAAGCAGATTATTTTATCCTTTCATGCTCCTCCTGGATGAGCATGCGGCGAGGATTTTTACTTGCATTACTTTATGTCGTTGACTCTTAAGCAACTCCTCCCACTGAGCATGCATGCTGCGACAGTGGAGAGAATAAACTCTCCTCTATTTGAGATCTTAATCTGTCCAACACACGGTGCTTATAAGAGCATCTGAAAAACATATGTCAGATGACATATTAGCAAAAAAAAAAAGGTTAAATTAAAGAAAATTTGAATTTTTTTCAGAATTTTCTATATGTAATCTGGTTTTATGCGCATATAACTGTGTAATCTTGGCACTTAACTCCCTATCTTACCTTTCTTTACTTAAAAATATTCACACAGTTTGAATAAAGACTATTAGAGTCTGTTCTAATCAGTTTTGGAAAGCCCCTGAGAAACCCAGAAAACAAAGGATTTAGAGTCCCAGTTTGCTCACCATGTCCCACTCTGCACATATGTATGGCCCTGGACGAAGGATCACTAACAGACCGATCTCCTGAGCAAGTTTAAGAAAACCTTCCAAATCTTTGTCTCCGCTGAAATCGTACCGGCCAGGAGACTCTTCATGGTAGTTCCAGGGAACATAGCTGCACATGAAAGAAAGCATCAGTAGTCCACAATCACTTTATAAAATGTGCTCTGTACCCAGTAAATGTTGCAGAAACAAAATGAGACTCAATGCTTGCTGTTGAGGCTGCTAGAAAATACACTAACATTATATAGTGGGGTATGGTGCGGAGGAATATTAAGGGAGAAGAGGTTTTCTTTGGAAAGAAGTGAATTAAAGGTTAGTGGGAGTGAATGTGTGTGATCGAGAGGGAGCGGCAGAGGGAGAAGCTTGAGGATTTTAAGTCGCCTACTTATGGTGAACTGTTCAGAGCAGCATTCTGCATGGTGAAGAGCTGAAGAAACCTGTTTGAGCAGATTTATCAGTTGATAAGATGGTAAGAGCAGAGAAGTACTGTAAGGTTTACAGACGGGGCACTAAGGAGGAGACCGGTAGCAGCGATACTGAGGTTCTGTTTCAGAAAGACGAGGATGGATAGAAAGCCCTCTAAAACTCAGAGGGTTCTGATATATAGAGAGGAGAGTTAATGAGGAAACTGGTAGAAGGAAGAAGCCACCAGGCAGAAGAACTTTAGAGAAGATTTATGCATGGAGTGACAGATTGAACTGATTCAAGTGGCACCGACACTCTGGAATAACTTGCCTTTGCATATTGGATCGGCAGGCTCTTTTGAGGTTTTTAATCCTCTCTAAAAGCACACTTCTTCTCCCTGGCTTTTATTAAAGTCTAATTCGACACTTGGCTAAATTTTATTTAAAATTATATTTTATTTTATAATTTAGTTTAATTGAAACATTTATCCCATTATATTTTATCTCCATTAAATTTTTCTTATGCGTTTATGCATTATAGCCTTCAATCACAACTGTGATTCCTGTTCAGCATTTTGGTCAACCTCGGTTGTTTTAAATGTGCTTTATAAACAAAGTTTGAGTTGAGTTGAGAATAGAATTGAGTAGAATAGAATAGAAAATCCCTTTATTGTTCCATAATGTGGAAATTCCAGTGTTTACAGCAGCAAAAAGATCATAGAAAAAAAATGGTCACACAAATGTGGACCTTAGAAAAAATATATAAGAATAACAAAATAGTGACGAGTTAAAAGAGTAGCAACAAAATACTGTACTGTAAAATAACCAATCTAAAGCTAATAAATAAAAAGAAAGATGTAGCTCAAACAATCACTAATAAATGCTATTAAATGTACCTTTGATGTTTTACCTTTAGTGCTCTCCAAGTCATCAGATTTACATGTAGATTTAGTTTTAAACTCACTACAATTGGAAAAATCCACAATGAATAAAAAAAAAACTATCATATTTCTTATATAACTTGACTACATTTACTCTTTTATAATGTTAAATTTATTCTTTAAGTGCTAAAGATTAAAAAATCCCAAACGTAGTCCTCAGGTCCCAATGTCCAGGTTGCAGGTTTTGGAAGCGTCTCTGCTCCAGCAGGCCTGACTGAAATGCTGCTATTATCTCCTCAGCATGTGATCAATTTCATTGTGTCAAACAACAATACTTTCAATAACCAAGATCCATCAAGCATCCAAGTATAAAATGTAAAAAGGCAAAGTAAAACAAACTCTCTATTAGTTAAAAGTAAGTAGTTGTGAGTAGACCTTGTTTGCTTCACTAAACATGTTATAAACTAAAGCTATTCTTTGGTGCAATGTGGGCTGCTGGCTTAGGAAAACAGTAATTTTAAAACCCTTTATTTCTATCTTGGTAATGTAACATACATTTCTAGTGAGTGGATGTTTGCGTGGAGGACTCTTACGTCTGGATGGCATTCAGTCCTGCCATGTACATCTTTAGCAGCCTGTCCCTCCAGTAGGCCCTGGGGATCCTGCTGTAGTGGATACTTCCTGATATGTAACGAAACTGCCCCCCATCCTTACGGAAACAGTTGTTTTCGTAGTCCACACTGAATGATCGAGATTCCCCGAGCTGCAGGTCAAAACACATTCATTTCCCATAGAATATAAACATAGATATACAAAGTAACCATTTTATGGTTTTATGGCTGAATATTGACAGAGCAGGTGACTCTGTGGGTGTACATTAAAGATTCTCGATTAAAGAAACATTTTAAAGGGGTTTTAATAAAGAAAACCGACATATTAAAAATATAAAGCTCTGTTCAGAACAGAGTGACTTTTCTAAATTGATTTGTTTATGGAACATAATGGAAAGAAATTTTTAAGCACTTATTCTTTATTTATTCTGTATTATGATAGCAGTAGTTCCTCTAAATGCATTTTATCTTCTACAAAGAAGAACGTTTATGAAAACAGTAAAAGAGTTTGAAGACTGTCAGATATCTACTCACTGAGAGTTCAAACAGCAGCAGCAGCAGCATCAGGATGACGGTATTCAGTCTGAAAGCAGACATGATGACGTCTTTCTGTTTTGATATTTAAGTATGAAAGCTGATAAACAGGAGCCTCAAACAGCAACACGGCTGGATCCAAGACCCCTGCAGCTGAACTGTTTTTCAATCAGCGGCATCACAAGTTGCGGAAGTAAAGTCATGTGACGGGACGGCGTATGGGTGCAATGATACTGTCTGACCAGTAGATGGAGCTGCAGTACAGCTTGGCAAAGCGTCTGACAATTCTTTATTGGAAGAGAATTAGGTACACTGAAAAAAAAAAAAGAAAAAAAAAAGTTAACTGATTTTCAAATTTTATTTCAGTTTAATATGGGAAAAATACGGAAGAAGATTAGGGCCACTGGAAAAAACAAAAAAGTTGACTGTTTTTAAAATTTTATTTCAGTATGATATGATCTGACTTTTTTTTCTCAGAATTCTGACTTTTCTCTCAGATATGACTTTAATCTCAGAATTCTGACTTTTTTCTCAGAATTCTGACTTTAATCTCAGAACTCTGAAAATCAAAATTTTGGATCTTAATGTAGATGGGCACCATGAAGGAAGAGATGTGGGAGCACTCAGCTGCACTGATAAATATGTGAGTTGTTTGGGAGAGCCAGTAACACATTGGTGAAAAATGACGGAATCAGGTGACTTTTTTACGTGCCCGAGGGGTCCCCAGTGATGTTATTTAATTAATTGAAGAGCAGATGATTAAATCAAAAAAGCTAGTTTAGTCTTTAAAACAGACATGGTTCAGGCTTGATGCTAACATGTTTGTTAGCTGTCAGAATTCAGTCAGAATCCTGCGATTAAAGTCAAAATTCTGAGATTAAAGGAATAGTACACCCAAAACATGATTAGCCTTCATTTTCTACAAAAAAAAAAACATTCTAAATGACTTCGTTTCGAGTAAATTCTGGATGCTACCCACTCAGGACACTTGGAATACATTGGACGAGCATTATGGAGGAATATTGACACGTTTTTTGTGGACTTTTATGGACCTTTCTGCCTCGGGCGCCATAGACCTCAATTATTTGAAAATCAGCAGACAGCAAGAAGCCTCCCAGATCTCCAGATGCATTTGAGATATCAAAAAAGTACTCCAGAGTGTTGTTCAGCATGGGGGTGAGTAGAAAATGAAGGCTAATCATGTTTTGGGTGTACTATTCCTTTAAAGTCAGAATTCTGAGATTAAAGTCAGAATTCTGACTTTTTTCACATATTAAACTGAAATAATATTTAAAAATCAGTTAACATTTTTATTTTTTCAGTGGCCCTAATCCTCTTCCCTAGGATATTTTTTTTTATTTGTTTTGTTTGTCTGTTTGTTTGGTTTTTTTTTTTTTTTTTTGGGGGGGGGGGGGGGGGGGGTTGCCATGTGGTTTACACTCCTTACCAGTTGGTGGCGGTAATGTTCACCTAACGTTTTCGCCAACCGCCATAAAAATTTCAAGAAGAAGAACACGTTATACCCTCACACCACTAGATGGCGATAAAGCAGGACTGGGGCAATCGTCTCTACCTTAGAACCGGAAATAATACAGCATACACAACGCTGGGGTTTCTGTGCCACACGTGGGTCTCTGTGTCAGAGTAAGTTATGTTATATTGTTTGTTTAAATAAAACAAAACATAAAAGTATGCCAAAGAGAGCGAAGGCCAAGTCGGAGGAAAAGCCTCCAGCAGAAGAGCGGGTCGAGGAGCTGCTAATGGAGGGCCGGCGGACCCGCAGCGGCCGCACGGTGCGCCCTTCTACCGCGCTGCTAGACTCCAAAACCCCAGTAAAGACTCCCAGCAGGAGGACAAGGAGGTCCGTCCGCCAGGATCTCCCGCCGCCGGTGGAAGAGCAAATCCCTGAGGATACGGAGCAGAAGTCACCGTTACTGACCGTGGAGGAACCCGATGTGCCTAGAGAACCAGAGCCCACAGAATGCACCGAACCAGCAGAACCAACAGAGCCTTCAGAGCCGCAGCCCCCCCTGACAACAGCGGTGGAGCCAGAATCACCTGAGGATGGAGAACACCGACTGCCCTCACCTGTACCAGTAGAAACAGCTCCACAAGGTTCGGATAGCATCCCTAAGAAGAAGCCTCGCCTGGCTCCAAACACTAAACAGATCCCGGTGGTTCCACTGGGGAAACCGAAGTCAGGAAGAGTGTGGAAGGAGCGCAACAAGCAGAGGTGAGGTCTGCCTGATCATCTCTGACGAGCAATCTGCTCCTTCATAACTCTTAATCCATCAGGATTAGTTTTTATTCTTTCAATAATGGAAGCAATTTTATTTGGGCTTTTTTTCAGTCTGAAAAGTTTGAAAGTGCAGCATTGATCTATGTAGAGTAGCAGCCATTAAAAATGGCCCTTTCCAGGCCAAAGCCAGCCAAATGGCAGCAAAATCCAACTTCCATGTCTTCTCATGGGCATGCATGTTTTTGTCTTACCAGGAGATCATGCTTCTGTTTAGATCTTAATGTCCAGAAATCATGACAAAAAGAATATTTTAGATGTTTAAAAGCAATTATTGGGGACCAGCCAAGGATCTATCAAGGAAAGAGGGGGGTTTTGAATGGCTACTACTGTGAACAGACAATAGATGTAACTCTCTTACCTGTCTGTAACCCTGATGTTTGCATCCTTCAGGTTCTCTGCTCTGCTTAGAGACAAACCACTGTGCTCCTCCTGGGAGAAGAAGATGCAGGCCAAGCGTGAAAAGGACCTTGTCAAACAGTTCACAGCAAAGCTGAAGGAGGAGAAGGCTCAAAAGATGGAGGTGAGGTAGTGATGCAGATGTGCTGAAGCAAAGCGATGTTCCTGCGTGTTTAACGGGCCCTTGCTTCATCTTTTAGGAGAAGAGGAAAAGACGAGAGGAGAACCTGAAACGGCGAGCAGAAAACGAACGCAAGGCTGAGATTGTGCAAGTGGTGAGTTTATCCACGCACTTGGAAGCAATCGTCTCACCCTATAGGTTTTTGATCAGCATCGCCTCACAGAAGGAATATTTTTTTCACTCTTTTCAGCTACAATATAAACACATATTCAGTTTTTTTTTTGCTGAAATCTTTTAGGTGGTGTAACTTCACCAGCTATACGTTTTCTTCATTAGAGACTGAAATCATTATGGAAATATTAGCCTCCATCCCAGAGTTCAGTCCTTTGCAGCATTGGTTCAGGACTCTGGGCGTTCATAATTAGCTCCACCCATCAGATCTCCACCTGATCCCCACGATCACCTCACAAGCGAAACCAGATATACAGCGGGTCACCCTCGATTTTAATTGACGGAGAGACAGGGCTCTCTGACTGCAGCAAGCTCAGTACATACATTTATACACCCTTCATGCCATGGAGGAGGCTGTGTAACTCATTATTATCTCTCATGACCTTCGTTTGGAGCCTGTGAGGCTAAGATCAGACATATCTCAACTAGGGCTGCAACAACGAATCGATAAAATCGACTTTTAAAAGCATTGGCAACGAATTTCATCATCGATTAGTTGTGTCGAGCGATTAATGCGTCATCCGCCGCCGCCGTCATCACATCCACTTGACTGAAGCGGGGGAAGAAGAAAAAATACGGCAGAGCGAGCCAGCGCTGCAGGTGCAGTGTTGCCAACTCAGCCACTTTTCAGACCCCTCCAGCGACTATTTTTTCAAAAAAGCGTCTAGCGACAAATCTGGCGACTTTTTACTGTGTCACTGGCGGCTTTTGGAGACTCTTACGTGAAAGCATGTATCATTCCCCCCCGCGCCTCCCCCCGCTCCCGCAGGAGTCCCTCTCAGCGCTGCAGTCAGAGCAGGGGGACGTTTACCCTCAGCGTCCAGACTGCAAATGAAGCGCGCATGCACCGGGATTGATGGCGCAAATTGATCACAATAATTAAAATAGCCTGCACTTTGTACAGTGAAAAAAGTCGTAACATGCAACTTTTGTAAAAACACATTAACATGGCACGGAACCACCATGTTTGTTTCGTTTTAAAGTGGGGAAACGTTACGTTAGTTTCTCAGGTAGCTCATCTGATACTTTCCTTACCGTGTTAGTAGGTTACAGACAGTGATAAGGTTGGCTACTGATTTTACTTTTAATTTCATTTGAATTAGCTTAAGCAGCGTTTAGATTTACTTTATAAATAAATTAACTTACAAATTATGAGGGCAAGGCTTTTAAAGTTTAAATCTTCTGGCAAAGATAAAGAAAAGAAGATCCTGCAATTTATGGAAGTAAAGCAGAATAAAATCCAGCAAGATCAGTAATATGTCAATTAATTATAAGCCACATTTCCATGTAAATATCTGTCTTTGGAGGATGTGTTTTTTAACACCCCTAGTTCTCTCATTTTTATTCCAAATACAATTTATAATTTGAATCACAGGGCTATTTTTATCTCTATGGTTCAGTATTTTCTCAAGTAGCAACTTTAACTGCTATACTTTCCTGTCTTAAAAGGCAGAACTCTTCTAGTCTAAAAAAAACTCATTTGTTGAAATGGGGGGGCCTGTTGTTTGAGCCCCTTAGGGGATTTAAAAACAAAAATGTCTTTTTTTGCGCTTTATGAAACAAAGTAGCCTATATTTTGTGGATGTACAGCTACATTTCTCATGTAAGTTTGCGTAGTTTTAACACAAACATTTATTTTTCATATTGCACCAGTACAGTTAATGAGAAACCTGTACTTGTGTGCTTGTTTGTTCTGTCTAAAATGTTTATTTTGGAATAAAGAGGTTAATATAAAAAATATTTTTTGTCCGATTCATCGATTAATCGAAAAAATAATCGGCCGATTCATCGATTTTTAAAATAATCGTTAGTTGCAGCCCTAATCTCAACATTTTTTACTCCACAATAGTTAGTGCACTAAACTATAATGCGTTAAAGGTTGATAATGCATTTCCTGAGAAAATAAATGCATTAAAATCCTTTTCTGTTTTATCACTCTTCTCTTCTGTTTAAGTCTTTGTATTTAAACATAATTCCAGTCTTTTTGAGTTTTGTTTTCCTTTTGTGCAAACCTTATGTTATAGAGTGCATAATCTAAAGAAAGAAAATGCAGATAAACATTGTTTAATCATATTTTGATGCCGTATAGAATTATTTATTGATTTTAAGAATAAAAATAAGTACTTTTAGTGACATAATTACATTATTTATGACGACCTGGATGATTATCTGCTTGCACATGCGCAAGTGAGCCGATGGTAAATATCGGATAGAGACAACATCTCTAATGCTACGTTCAGACCACACGCTGCAGAAGCAGCTAGTTTACATGCAAAGTCAATGGTTGACGCAGCAAAAGGTTCTGCAGCTCGTTATGAGCAGCAGGAGCAGCGCGTCAGATGCTCAGACGTGCAACCTGCTGCGAAAGCCGCTGCTGCTGGAATGAAAGAAGCTGATCTGGGTGCAGACGGGGAGACAGACACAGAACAACTTATGCATATCGCTATGATCACTCCTCTGAAACGGTTTACTAACACCTAAATGAACTTAAAATGTCGAAACCTGTCGGCAAAATATGTTCGCTTTTATTATTCTGGTGCCTGGAGTTTGTATTACGTACATGAAAAACACCTTCCAGCCGCCACAAACGGTAGCGAAGAGGTGACCGGGCCAGAGGCTGCGGCTAAATGGGATTTCCAGGGACAGCATCGTCGGTGCGCAGAGGTCTACGCGGCTCCGACAGCAAAATAATATTTGAAGGCAGGATTGTAATCTTGATGAACTGACTGCACAGATCAAGTTTTTAGGTGGACTTTCTCACTTAATGGCATATTAAAAGTACTTTTTACCCACTTCTAACAGCAGACACACTTTCCTGGATGTGCTTTAGGAGCGTCAAAGCTGCTCTTGACGCATGTCTGAACTTAATGTGAACAAGAATAAAAAATGAAGCAATAGAAGCCTTTTTGCTGCTTCCAGTGCTCGTGGTCTGAACGTAGCATAAACCTCTGCATAGCTTTGCTGTGCTGTGTTCACGGTCTCCATGGTGATAAAAGTTCACAGAACAGCTGGATTTTAGGTTACTTCCTGTTTGCATGTCAGTTGAAATTAGGTTGTAATGAGGTTTTAAGGTTGTATTGCATGAAAAAAGGTTAATGAATTTTTAGGTCAAAAACGATGTTCAGAGCTCCTTGTCTTGTTTGTTTGACAGATCCGCAACACGGCCAAGATCAAAAGGATGAAGAAGAAGCAGCTGAGGAAGGTTGAGAAGCGAGATACTCTGGTTCTGCTTCAGAAGTCACAGAAGCAGAACATGCCAAGCAAAGTGAAGAAAGATGTTAAGCAAGATTTAACTTAAAAACTGTCTGCTAATAAATCCCAACTATTCAGAAAAGATGGTCTGTGAAAATCTTTTTTATCAGATCGAGTTAAAACCTTTATTCTTCATGAAGAGGTGTTCCTAAGATAAAGACTTGCTGACAATTTTATCAGGTATATCTTACTTTAAAACAGTCCAAAACCTGTGTGTCTATTTGGAGGTTTCTGCTCATTATGAAAGGATAGGGCACTTACTCAGTCTAACCACAAGAGGGCGCTGTCACGTGGTCCTAAGGCTCCAACTATTCATTTGTGTATTTGCTAGTAATGGACATATTCCAATATTCAGCAAACGGCAATAATATTAAAATGTTTCTTATACACATGTCATTACTTTTTTAGTTATTAGAATGATTTATGCCTAAAATAATCCTTCCAATATATGACTGTTTGTGGCAATTGTTTTAGTTTGTCATGGCCTGATTTTGTTGCAAAGAAGATGGACTGAATGCTTTCTGTTCATGACCTGTCCTGAATGATTGAATTCTCTTTTTATGAGACTCCTGCCTGAGATTCTTTATAGCAGGCTGCCCACAGAAGTTCATTCTTTTTACAGGATTCAGTCAATTTCTCCTGTGTGTGACTCATTGCTCCACGACAAAACGTACATTTTTAGGGGATGAGTATTTGGGTTTTTACTTTTATTCAAGTATAGGACTTTTTTTACCCACAGTGACTGGTTTAAGGTGGTTTCTTTGTCAGCTAATTCAGACAGTTTAAACAATACATTTAGACAATTTAGATGAAATTGTAAATTCAGGGAAATGGAAAGCAGTCGTTTCTATTGCAATACAGTGATGGCCCATGTGAACAGCTGTAGGTTAACATAACAAACATTTGCCCCTTTCTTAAAAAAAAACTTTACACTGTCAAAACTTTCAAAGACGATCTTCCATTTTTTTTATGTTTTTGGTTTTTTTCCATATACTAACTCATGATTTTCTGTCAGGGAAAAGAACAAACAGACATCATTTAACCCTAAATGTAAAGTCCTCTTTAAAAGTATTTGATTTGACTGGATAGATTTATTTGAAAGAAAATGGCAAATATTTGTTATGTTGACCTGTGCCACAGAGTTACCATAGGAACAACTGCTTTCTGTTAGAGGGAAGAGGCTGTCCCATTCTAGTTTGTTGCCCTCACATACAATCCAGGCGCCTTCCACCATCAAGTGTGACTTTACTGCAAGTGACACTTGATAGTTAAGGGTTATTGGGGCTGTTTGGGATTCAGCCATTATTGTGGAGAGTGGCGGCCTACTGGTTAGGACATACAGGTGCTGGTCATAAAATTAGAATATCATGAAAAAGTAGATTGATTTCAGTAATTCCATTTAAAAAGTGAAACTTGTATATTATATTCATACATTACATACAAACTCATATATTTCAGATGTTTATTTTGTTTAATTTTGATGATTACAAATGACAACAAATGAAAATCTCAAATTCATCATATCAGAAAATTAGAATATTACTGAAGACCAATAAAAACAAAGGATTTATAGAAATGTTGGCCAACTGAAAAGTATGAACATGAAAAGTATGAGCATGTACAGCACTCAGTATTTAGTTGGGCCTCCTTTGGCCTGTATTACTGCAGCAATGCGGCGTGGCATGGAGTCGATCAGTCTGTGGCACTGCTCAGGTGTTATGATAGCCCAGGTTGCTCTAATAGTGGCTTTTAGCTCTTCTGAATTGTTGGGTCTGGTGTATTGCATCTTCTTCTTCACAATACCCCATAGATTTTCTATGGGGTTAAGGTCAGGAGAGTTTGCTGGCCAATTAAGAACAGGGATACCATGGTCCTTCAACCAGGTACTGGTAGCTTTGGCACTGTGTGCAGGTGCCAAGTCCTGTTGGAAAATGAAATCTGCATCTCCAAAAAGTTGGTCAGCTGCAGGAAGCATGAAGTGCTTCCTGCAGCTTCCTGAATCCTGCTAAAACTTCCTGGTATGTGGCTGCGTTGACCCTGGACCTCAGAAAACACAATGGACCAACACCAGCAGATGACATGGCACCCCAAACCATCACTGACTGTGGAAACTTTACACTGGACTTCAAGCAACGTGGATGAAGTGCCTCTCTTCTTTTCCTCCAGACTCTGGGACCTTGATTTCCAAAGGAAATGCAAAATTTACTTTCATCAGAGAACATGACTTTTGACCACTCACCAGCAGTCCAGTCCTGTTTCTCTTTAGCCCAGGCAAGACGCTTCTGACGCTGTCTGTGGTTCAAGAGTGGCTTGACACAAGGAATGCGACAGCAGAAACCCATGTCTTTCATACGTCTGTGTGTGGTGGTTCTTGAAGCACTCACTCCAGCTGGAGTCCACTCTTTGTGAATCTCCCCCACATTTTTGAATGGGTTTTGTTTCACAATCCTCTCCAGGGTGCGGTTATCTCTCTTGCTTGTACACTTTTTTCGACCACATCTTTTCCTTCCCTTCGCCTCTCTATTAATGTGCTTGGACACTGAGCTCTGTGAACAGCCAGCCTCTTTAGCGATGACCTTTTGTGTCTTGCCCTCCTTGTGCAAGGTGTCGATGGTCGTCTTTTGGACAACTGTCAAGTCAGCAGTCTTCCCCATGATTGTGTAGCCTATAGAACTAGACTGAAAGACCATTTAAAGGCTTTTGCAGGTGGTTTGAGTTAATTAGCTGATTGGAGTGTGGCACCAGGGGCCATCAATTTTGAACCTTTTCACAATATTCTAATTTTCTGATATGATGAATTTGAGATTTTCATTTGTTGTCATTTGTAATCATCAAAATTAAACAAAATAAACATCTGAAATATATGAGTTTGTATGTAATGTATGAATATAATATACAAGTTTCACTTTTTAAATGGAATTACTGAAATCAATCTACTTTTTCATGATATTCTAATTTTATGACCAGCACCTGTAGAGCTTGGAATCCCAAGGTTCTGAGCTTGAACCCCACTCCCACAGACTGACTCTGAGCAAAGACCCTTAACTCCCAATTGCCTCACACTGGCAGCCCACTGCTCCCCAAGGGAATAGGTTAAATGCAGAGGTACATTTCTTCAGATGTTCCATCCCTAGTATTTACAAGTATGAGGCCTTTATGTCAAAAAGATAATCAAATTAAGTTTATTTTGTATTACATTCACAGCTTTAAAACAATTTAAAAGGGAAACTTGCATCATTTCAACACAATGGGGCGGTATTACAACGACTTTAAGGCTATCTTTAAAGTAACACAAACTGAAACTTCTCATTGATCTTGTCATGTTTGCTTTTGGATTAAGATTAATCATTCTACAAATAAAGCACAATTAGACAATATTCTTTCCAAAACTTGGAACTTTTATTTACATTTCAAGTCAGTCACATGCAAGATTCTCTTAAAATGAATAAACATGAAATTAGCAAAAAAAAAAACAAAAAAACATTTTAGTCTGTTTTTTTTCTCCAAAAGAGCAATATACAAAAATAGAGCTTACAAATACTGTACAGCATATAGTCTCCAAAAATATTCTGCTGCAGAATTCTTAGTTTTACAAACAATGTCTGTGAGGGTTCACAAACATAATTAATGTTACAAAAAAGGAGAAGAGTGAGGAGAGTTTGAGGGGGGGGGGGAGGCTTGTTTGGGTGGGTGGGGGGGTTACTTGTGAGTTTGTAAGAGCTACAGAGGAATAAATACACAATACAAACAAGACAGGTTTCACTTCAACAAGGCAGTGATAAAGAGATTAAACCCTAAATGTTCAGGTTGCTAAATCCAACCATAAAACAATGAAACTCAAGCAGCAGTTTTCTTCTTTTTGTCAAAATGAATACTTTGTTTTTTTGCCACATAACAGTGTGTCGTGATCAATAAGTCCCTTTCTCCTCCGGTTTCCAGTAAATTTTTTATGTCCTGACAGGGTGTCTATTTATAACAGCTCAGTCAGAAGCAAAGCTGACGTCAGGGATGACTTCAGCAGTGGGAAGACTTTTTTTTTTTTAAACCACACTCAACAGCCCCATTCTTTTTCCTGGCATCAAACTCCCTGCTTTTAATCTCAAACACAGACCTTCTCTTCTCATTTAGCTTAAGCTTCAATTGCTAACATTTTGTGTTTTGAAATTGGCACCTAGAGTGCGATCAGGACGGCACACGAGAGGGAAAACCTGTGCGGGGGAAAAAAGCATCCGGAAACAAACAAAGATGGACGAACAGCAGCAGGCGTCAGCTGCTAAATAAAGTATCGCTTCTACTGTGACTCGTGTGGGGATACATAATACTAACATCGAATATTTAGCACAGGTGAGAGAAAATGGTTGCAAAGCAGCATGCGGTCACAGTAAACATTTCCTTCTTATGCGAGATTCAGGGACAGCTCCGTAAACAAAGCTTTAAGACTTGAGTTGTTAGAATGGAAGGGAGCGAGGTTGTTTGGAAACGGCAGTTCCACTTTCTCATACTGCAACAATAACAGTCCCAGCCTTTTCATATCAAAAACTCGCCACATACCAAGCTTAAAGAAGGCCTTACAGTCATTTTGATCAACACAGATGTATTCTTAACACATCTTTTCTTTGTCGTTATGGTTTTTGTTCGACCAAGGCTGATGTGGGTGCAACGACTCACAGGAAAATTAGTATTATTAGTTTTCAGTTCAAATAATGCCAGTTTTGGACCACAGTACAGTAAATAGATTCATATTTTTGTCTTTTTTTTTTTTAGTACCAGAGCTCTTCTGGAGACACTTTCACCATTTAAAAGGATACAAAGATGTTTAAAACAACATTTGGATGTTTTCCCTGGTTTTATCGGGATTATATACGGCACAAATTAGTGCCCAACTCTGGCCTAAAAGGAAAATGACAGAATAAAAAGAACAGTATGGATTTATAATCAGCCACCTTTAATGTGATAACCCTGAATAGTGATGGTTGGATGAGAGCAGCAACTAACTTTGACTTGTTTCTAAGTAGAGTCAGCATCATGATGCAGCCCAGGCAGGAAAACAAATGCTTACAAATGCTCTGCATACAGTCCGACTGGGCTTGGACAATTTTGCAAAAAACAAATGACTGACCTCCGTGAGGTTGAAACTGAATGTTAGGCCTCACTTATCAGATTCTCATTTGTAAAAAACAGGATATGAAGACTAATGCATCATCATATTATCTTCTAATATGAAAATAAGAAGCTTAGTTTGAAGGAGAATTACTCTCCATTTCATTTACATGGATTCCAGGTTTTACCTTTTAACCTTAGCTTCGTTACTAAACTGCTTTACATGTAACATCGATGGGGAAAAAAAAACATCCCTATGTGCCCGCAAGTTACCAAAGCCTGCAAAAGAGATAACTCGGTCATAACTTGCTAGGGTATGAGAATAAAATGTTACTTAGTGGTTCTTTCAGAGGAACAGATAAATGAATCCAAATGTGGCCGTGGCCTAATAATAATAGATAAGCACCAGATACAGAACGTATCATCTGTACTCCCGTTACGAAAAGTCTCCTAAGTGGTTATTATCGGATCTGAAAGGGTGCAAAAACTCTAATTTGCTACAACTATTATCTCATGGTTGATTATAACAGCTTGCAAGCGTTCTCAGTTCAAGCACTATCATTACATTCTCACTAAACGCTACAAAATCCTGCAGATTACTAAACATTTAGTTCCCAAACCTCTGGGAACTATTTTATTCCATTGATGTTACAGGGGTAGCAGATTAATTCACCAAAGCAGCTAACAGGGGGACAAAACCATGGCTCAGAGCTGAACAACGTGTGGCACCAGACAAAAGCGTGTTGTACCGGTGCAGAAAGAGTTGGAGAGAGGAGAGAAAGCACCAGATTACTGCAGTGAAAAAAAAAAAAGTTTTGCGTTTGCATGAATGAAAATGCTGTTTCACTCCAACCTGCTGACCACTGACTATGGCAGTGAGAGAAAGGAAGGGCAGCTCCAGCCGCTCCCCCATGTGCACGTAGGTTCGTCCACTAAAAGGATGTGCTGATAACACGCTGAGGGCAGGACTCCTGGCACTGGGGACAATTCACTGACCTATTCTCTGAAATGCAGCTGTAACCATTAAAAAAAAGATGTTTTAAAGAGAAAAAGAAACATCAATAAATAGATTATGAGTGGCGAGAGAGATAACGTGGCTGAAATGGGAGGGAGGATAACATTCTGACACGTTTGCTGTAGTGTTGCGCCGATGCCATTTTTTGGCCCCGATACCGATACCCGATACCATAATAATGTAAAATATTTGCCATCATGGCTTTGTCAAGCTGCTGCCTACCTTTGGGAAGCAGGAAAAAATCTAATACAAAGTGAATCCAGTAGAACTTTTTAATAAACAGTTCTACTGGATAATAAAAATTTAAAGTTGTTATTGCCCACCAGGAGTGGGTGACAACAGCTGAATAAACTTATGCCTCTCAAAATGGTATCTGTGCCCTATTTGTTGGTACTCGCCGATACCGATACCCCCATTTTAGGGCAGTATCGGGGCCCCGTCCGATACTGGTATCGGTATCGGTGCAACACTAGTTTGCTGTGAGGTGACTTTCAGAGTTGTTCTTCCAAGTTTCAAGCTCTCATCTGTGAAATATATAACGCTTAATCTGATGATATTGATACAGAAAACAGAGCAATGAAAAGCTGGAAGTGTTTCTTCCATGAAACAATTCAAAGGCCTTGGCTTAGAGAGCACATTGGTTACCTAAAATCTGGATGTTGTTTCTGTCTGAGATGAGCTGATCAGTCAGAGTAACGCCTGGGTGATGGGGAACATGATCAAATGTTTCACATTAAAGCAGACCAAAGCTTTCCAGAGTTACAGTCCCTCTGACATATATCTGGATATTTGTGGTGTTTTTAAAACATATACCGTATTTTCACGACTATAAGGCGCACTTAAACGTCTTTTTTTTCCCTCAAAATGTGCGTAGCGCCCTATGGTGCGGTGCGCCTTATGTGTGTTGTAACTGCGACTTTTGAGACCACCTCATTGAGGAGATGATGAAAGAGTGGCTGAATGTAAGGAGACCAGGTGTTTTTTTTCCACCCCTCACCATCGCTGTTAATATGTAACTCCATGCGTGCCCATCTCACAGCTGATGTGAAAAACATGGGGAAACAAATTAACGCTGCTCGACATCGGTGTGAACCGGACCCAGCAGGTGCAGCAGAAGCAGCGAGTTTACATGCAAAGTCAATGGTTGACGCGGGTATAGGCACAGCAAAAGGTCCCGCAGCACGTCGGGAGCGTTTAAGCGCTGCTGCAGCTCAGATGGAAAAATTGAAGTTTTGCTGCTGGACGCGCCGCATCAACCAATCAGAGAAGCTGATCTGGGAGCTGCCAGCGAGACAGACAGCGCTCTGATGACATATGATATTAACGCAAATGGAAAAGGCTGGATGGATGCGTGGCTGAGGCAGGTGTATGTGAGAAGACCAGATGGTTTTTTCCACGCATCACCATCGCTGCGTGCCCATCTCACAGCCGATGTGAAAAAAAGGTGAATCAAATGAACGCTGTGCTCACCGTTATCCCGGGGGTCTGACAAAGGAGCTTCAACCGCTCGACATCGGTGTGAAGCAGCCGTTCGAAGTAAGGCTGCGAGCGGCGTGGGAGCGATGGATGACCGACGGAGACCACAGTTTCAGGATAAGAAGGCAGCGCCGGGCAGATTACGCCGCAGTTTGCGGATGGATTGTAGATGCTTGGACTAAAGTGTCTGCTGGCTCTGTTGTTCAAGCTTTCGCAAAAGCCGGCATTATTTCTGAGGAGCTGCGCTGCACGGAAAGTGACTCTGACAGCGAAGAAGGGGAAACTGGCATGTCGGATTTAGCGCAGCTGTTTAATTCAGAAACAGAGGATGAGGACTTTGAGGGGTTTGATTAATACTTTGTAATAAATACATGAATAAAGCACAATCATACTCAGTTTTGCTCCCGCTGTATTTTTCTCCCTGAAAACTTAATTCAACAGCATCCCCGGCGCGTCTCCTCCTCTTCATCGCGGTGGCTGGCAGGTGTTTTTTCATCTAAATAATCTAAATCTTGCAGCTATATTTGCTGTGATCAGTGGGAATAAAGTAGTTTTAATATGTTTTTAAGTGAGAAAGTCCACCTGAAAACTTAATAATTGCAGTCAGTTCATCCAGATTATCTATTCCTGCCGGAGGCGCTCAGACCCCCACATACCAGCGGTGCACCGACAGTAGAAATCCTTTCGTTCACCGCGGCTGCTTGCAGGTGTTTTTCATCTAAATAATCTAAATCTTGCAGCTATATTTGCTGTGATCAGTGGGAATAAAGTCGTTTTAATATGTTTTTAAGTGAGAAAGTCCACCTGAAAACTTAATAATTGCAGTCAGTTCATCCAGATTATCTATTTCTGTCGGAGGCGCTCAGACCCCCACATACCAGCGGTGCGCTGACAGCAGAAATCTCTTCATCAGCAGCCTGTAGGCTGGGCAGCCTGGGGTTCACCGCGGCTGCTGGCAGGTGTTTTTCATCTAAATAATTTTAGCTGCAGGCACCAGGATACCGGTAATAAAAGCGAACATATTCCGTCAGCAGGTTTCAGGATTTTAAGTTAATTTAGGAGTGACCACAGCGCTGTGTCATCTGCGATGTCTCTGTCTCACGGCCAGCTGCCAGGTTTGATTAATACTTTGTAATAAATACATGAATAAAGCACAGTCATACTCAGTTTTGCCACCGCTGTATTTTTAAATACGCAGTAGAGGTATTTAAAGGTAGTAGAGGACTTGTACCTGTATATAAAAAACGCGCCCTATAGTCCGGTGCGCCTTATGTGTGTGTTAAATACAGAAATGGGACACATAACTGAGAGTGCGCCTTTTAGTCCGGTGCGCCTTATGGTCGTGAAAATACGGTAGATCTGCTTTGTACACGGAGATGAAGAAAAGAAATTAAATAAAACACATGACCTTAGGCCTAAAGCAATAAAGGTTTGCCTTCTCATAAAGTGCTTTTTAAACAAAAAGAAAATCTTAGTGTCATAAAGTTCTTGGCTTTTCTTTTTTTTTGTCATTTTCTTCTTCCTTGTCTTTTGCTGGTGCCGTCCAGAAAAAGCGCTTTGGTTGTGAAAAAGTGACTAAAAAGGAAAAAACTTCTAGATCAACTTCATCGTCTATGAATTAAAAAAAAAATAATAAAAACGGAGCAGCTGATTGTGAGCCACTCAGCGCTGCTGATGGTGAGGGACTCCTGCGTAGGTGATGATGGCTGCAGACTCTCGGTTTGGTGAGTTTCTGTGCACTTACTCCAGTTTCTGTCAGTTCACAGCCAAGTGTGTCTGTTTAAGGTGAGCGTTGGGGTGTGGTTTCTGGGCCGAGTGCTTTTAGAAAGGCGCCCGGCGCTCGTTAAACCAGGTTCTCTGCGCCGGGCAGGGGTTGCTGTACGGGCGCAGGGGGCTCCGTGGTGCCGGCCTGCTGGGCGAGCTGTAAGACGGGCATGTTGCACAGCGGGCACACCTTCCTCACCTCCAACCACTTAATGAGGCACCTAAGGGACAGAAAAAGGAGGCAAAAAGTCTTTGAAAGATGTCCAATACTTTTATGTATCTGAGTTCATTAAAAAACAGATCTTAAATGTTCTGAAATCTTATATCAGAGTCATGTCAACTTCAAGCGCCAATCATAAACCCCCAATCATAAACCGGGCTTTACTGGTCAGGAATAACCCAAACTAGCCCTTATCTAATAACTGTATTTAACAGAGCTGTATTGTTCTGAGATAAAACTCTGCAGAGTGTCTAACCCTACCGATATCTGTCAACTGTGATATCTAATATGGCCTTGGTGGGGCTCTTTTCACACTTCTGTTCATTTTAGAAAATATACGCAAACTCAACAGAGGTTACAGTGATGTCATTTTAGTGGCCATGTGATAAACTGCTGTTCAAAACACATTTATTTATTGAGAGGGTTTACAAAAAAACCCTAAACAACTGAGAAACAAGGAAGCAAACAGTAGGAAGAGTGTGGCAAATTCATCTAGTCAGATGCTTTTTTTCACGGGATCCTTTATTACTCAACTATTTTACAAACCTTAAAAAGCATTTTTTTTTTTTTTTTTGCAAGCCACAGTCTGCTAAATGTACACATCAAATGTTTTGCTGACCCCTGAAAGACCCGTCAGCCCGGTGGGAGGCCTGTTTTCCCCACCTCACAGTGTGCAGGACTGCTGTGTGAGCAGGGGAATGTGTGACAAACCATTGGAAAGATCAGATACCCACGGTTTGAATAATGCACAGCACGTCTGTAAACAAAAACAAGTTTCCAAAAGCTGATTTAATTTCCTGAGAAATGGAAGAAAAAAAAATCAACCCAAACCAAATGGGGCCCATGTAAAGGAGTTACTGCCCCACAGATCTACTTCCTGTTCTTTTGCAGAATTGTTTTCATTTAGCCAAATGAAAGATTTTCAATTAATTAATAGCCTATTTAAGTTCTAACCACAGCATCTCTGCTGTTTGAACCAAGTAATCTAGAGCTTAATGTCATGAACTTGTGAGGAAAAAAAAAAAAAAGTTAATTGTTCTATTAATACCGTAATTTTCAGACTATAAGTCGCAACGTTTTCCCCATTTTTCGACCTTGCGGCTTATATAACAATGCGGCTTATCTATGGACTTTTACAGCTAACGGCCACTAGGGTAATAGCTAAATATATGGATTTTACCATCCACCATGTTGACGTCACATTTGCTTCAACACACAAGTACAGTAGCCGCGCGCGCGGGAATGCAGAGGTCCTCTGGAAGCAGACTTCTACAATTTTTTTTTTTCCTTCTTGCTTTGATTCTGTTTTATCTTCCTGTATTTTAATCATGTAAAGCACTTTGCATTGTCTTTGTACTGATACTGATTTATCTGATACTATACAAATAAATTTGCCTTGCCTTGCCTTGAGTGGTACGAGACAGAATGACAGCGAGAAAGACGGACATTGCGAGCTCAAGACAGTTTGTGTGACACCCTCATTATGGAAAAGAAACGTACCGGTAGAAATAATAAATAGGAGCTTCCCCAAACAGTTGCCTCTTTCCCGACAATCTTCTCTGTGCATGAACCATATGATAATAGTCTAATAGTCCGGTGCGGCTTGTATATGTACAAATCATGCAATTTAGCTTCTGCAGCTTATATTCAGGTGCGGCTGATAGTCCGAAAATTACGGTAACTATATGAGGCCAAGACCATCACTCTACAACACACATGTCTGCCTATAAGGATGATGAGGTTCTTTTACTGAAACTGTGCTCTAGTTTTCAGGAGGATGTAAGGCGACGTAAACCTTTTTATTTTGTCAGTTAGCATCTATTAAGATATAATACGCTTTTTTTCTTAATAAAGGAAATTATGATTTGAAAAATTCTTCTTGTATTAAAAAAGGTTTTTTGATCCATTATAGAAATTTGTTTAATGATCTATAATAAAAACTGAACTGTTAAGTGTTAATTTAACTGTAAACATTAAAGTCAGTTTATGGTCCCAGCTCCTTCAGCTCCTGGGACAGAAAACTGGGTCAAAGGGTTTGACTGATATGGACAACAGTTTAAATGGCAGGACAGGAGCCAACTCAACCAGTCCATCATGTTTTGTATTCCTCTCCACACGTGTCCACTTATAAATTTATACATGAAAAATTCAAATTATACCTTTTCTTTGATAATCTTTTGTACCGTATTTTCACGACTATAAGGCGCACTTAAACGTCTTTTTTTTCCCTCAAAATGTGCGGTGCGCCCTTTGGTGCGGTGGGCCCTATGTGTGTTGTAACTCCCGCAGCGCGTTTTGAGCAGCAGGCGCAGCTCGTCGGGAGCGTTTAAGCATCTGACGCACCGCCAACGCGCTGCTGCTTCTCGAGATGGAAAAATTGAAGTTTTGCTGCTGGACGCGCCGCATCAACCAATCAGAGAAGCTGATCTGGGAGCTGACAGCGAGACAGACACAGCGCTCTGATGACATGTGATATTAACGCAAATGAAAAAGGCTGGATGGATGAGGAGATGATGAAAGCGTGGCTGAGGCAGGTGTATGTGAGGAGACCAGGTGCTTTTTTTCCACGCATCACCATCGCTGCGTGCCCATCTCACAGCCAATGTGAAAAAAAAGTTGAATAAAATGAACGCTGTGCTCGCCGTTATCCCGGGGGGTCTGACAAAGGAGCTTCAACCGCTCGACATCGGTGTGAAGCGGCCGTTCAAAGTAAGGCTGTGAGCGGCGTGGGAGCGATGGACAGACGGAGACCACAGTTTCAGAATAAGTGGAAGGCAGCGCCGGGCAAGTTACGCCATCGTTAGCGGATGGAATGTTGATGCTTGGACTAACGTGTCTGCTGGCTCTATTGTTCAAGCTTTTGCAAAAGCCGGCATTATTTCTGAGGAGCCGCGCTGCACGGAAAGTGACTCTGACAGCGAAGAAGGGGAAATTGGCATGTCTGATTTAGCGCAGCTGTTTAATTCAGAAACAGAGGATGATGACTTTGATGGGTTTGATTAATACTTTGTAATAAATACATGAATAAAGCACAAACATACTCAGTTTTGCTCCCGCTCTATTTTTCTACCTGAAAACTTAATTCAACAGCAGCCACTGGGCGGGTCTCCTCCTCTTCACCGCGGTGGCTGGCAGGTGTTTTTTCATCTAAATAATCTAAATCTTGCAGCTATATTTGCTGTGATCAGTGGGAATAAAGTAGTTTTAATATGTTTTTAAGTGAGAAAGGCCACCTGAAAACTTAATTGCAGTCAGTTCATCCAGATTATCTATTTCTGTCGGAGGCGCTCAGACCCCCACATACCAGCGGTGCGCCGACAGTAGAAATCCCTTCAACAGCAGCCTCTAGGCTGGGCAGCCTCCAGGTTCACCGCGGTGGCTGGCAGGTGTTTTTCATCTAAATAATTTAAACTGCAGGCACCAGGATACCGGTAATAAAAGCGAACAAATTCCGTCGGCAGGTTTCAGGATTTTAAGTTAATTTAGAAGTGATCACAGCACTCTGTCATCTGCGATGTGTCTGTCTCACGGCCAGCACCCAGGTTTGATTAATACTTTGTAATAAATACATGAATAAAGCACAATCATACTCAGTTTTGCCCCCGCTGTATTTTTAAATACGCAGTAGAGGTATTTAAAGGTAGTAGAGGACATGTACCTGTATATAAAAAACGCGCCCTATAGTCCGGTGCGCCTTATGTGTGTGTTAAATACAGAAATGGGACACATAACTGAGACTGCGCCTTTTAGTACGGTGCGCCTTATGGTCGTGAAAATACGGTACAAAAGAAGCCTTTTTTTTCCTAAATTAATTTTTGATCAGATTTCAGAGAATTTAGTCTTATACTCACTTCCGATGAAAGGCGTGTTTGCATGGACAGATCCCCAGCTCATCTTTCTGTTTAAACTCCTCCAAGCACACTGCACATATCTGAAAGAGAAGGCCAGAGCTTTAGCTACAGTTTCAGTAAAAAAAACTAATAAAACAAAGCCCTAATGCTAATGTGTTGCTAATTTATTTCTCTTTGGTTCCCTCTGCACTTATCACAATTTTGTGTCAGTGGACTGCAAACAAACTGCTCAGGCAGCGGTGAAAGTCAGACTGACAAAGAAAAACACAGCTGTGGCCAAAATTGAACAAAAAGACAATCACAGGACTTTAAAAACAGATGAGTAACAGTCCAGCTATGTCCGCTCACACAAGTCTTACTACCTGCAGCCCTTTTCAGGGATTCTGGAATTTTTTCACCCCTAGATTTGCAAGGAAAAGCCGAAGATATGGCAAACTCGGAAAGCTTTTCACATAAAATCATGTCAGTGAATGATTCCAGATGGACAGATTATAGACCAAAGCCATTTACAAAAAGGTTTACTCAAAATCCCAGGGGTTTGATCATAACCGGTTCTCATCCATTCCATTTGGGAGGAACAAAAACTCTGCAACAACTATTATATCTTAAAGATTTGAGTAATTTCACTTATTCTATTGAAACTTCTGTTGATCACTTTGACCAGGAATGTTTCCCAACTTATTTACCAACACTGTCCTAATCCCCACTTCATCTAGAGCAACCTAACATATAGAAAAGCATTTCTCTTCCCTTTTACGTTGGCAAACAGTGTAAGAGTCCACAGGTCTCCACGTGTTTTTTAGATCGAATTAGCACCCAGGGACCACCTACGATGACGTGAAGCCCATGAGCACAGTGCTGACGGCATATATTGGGTCATGCTTGCTTGGTGAGATTAAAATACTTAATGTTGCCCTTATAAAAAAAAGGATTACCTTTGAATCAAGCTAGAAAATTCAAAAGAAGGACGGGTGATCACAGAAAAGGAGGTAAAAGGGACAATATTTCCCGTCAATGCTGTTTTTTTTGTTTTTTTTTTTTTTTAAGGAAACAACAGGAAAATACCTAAACTCTTCTTTTCCCAGACTCCATGGGAAACCTGTATGTTATCAAGAACTACTCTATTTCAAACCATCGACATTATTCAGGATGATGACTGAGTGCAATGTTTAAATAAAAAAAAGCTGCTAGCATCCCTGCAACTAATCTCTAAAAAGACCTTTGTCTTTGTAGAAAGCGTTTGTGTTAGAAAACTTCAATCACCTAGTGGACAGCTCTTTTATAGCAGCAACAATGACTCCTTTAGCTGCATAGATTTATGGGTGGATGGACATCTGTGGGTGAAAGGAACTGTATGGGGGCTCAAAGCTTTTCCTCCTGACCAGTTAGGAACACAGAGCAGCTATTTGTGTGGATGCCTGTTTTTAACCATCTGGATTGGGGAATAGATCAATTTGCTCTTGGTATTTTTTTTCCTAACGCCTCATCTTTGGTGTCCCACTCAGATCTGAGTTTAACAGAGAAAAACCATCCCTTCTACCTCTATTCCTGTAAGTCAAGTTTAAATTACCCCAAAGTCACAAAACTAAAATGACATTGAAAATAAATGCAGAACAAAGACTTTAACTTCTTAATAGTTTAACTCATGACTTCCAGACAGAAACAGCTGAAATATGTAACAAGCAACCATGTTTAATAACAAGCGACTAAGAAATTAGGTTGGTACAGAAAAAAACAAACAAAAAACAACCAGAATGTAGTCCTTTCCTTTCAGTCTGTTACCAACCTCACATTGACTAAGTGCCAAAGAACATTAGCTCTGAAAAAGGAAAAAGAAATAAAAAATTCACATAAACAAGCACTTAAGCAAAAAAGCATAGATGACAAAAAGAATCGAATGAGAAAGCTTAAAAATAGTCAAACTTTACAAAGTTTTGTTTGTGCTTCAGCAATGAAATCTCTACAAGCCTAAAACATTCAGCCAAGTTCAGAGAAGTAAACCAAACCATCTAGCATACAAACTATGCTAGCTGAGATCATCGTTAGGTCTGCTTTAGATTGTAAAAGTTGCAGACCCCTGTTCTAACATGAATATTTTGCTTTTAAATCCTGCTTTACTGCATCAAACTGAACTGTTTATGTTACCCATTTGGACACGTGAGAAATGGTTTGGTTAATTGCAGGATCACGCTCAAACCCTCTTGTAGACGATCCGGTTAGGTTACACCTCAGATGTTCTGGAGCAAGCCTTGACCCGTAAACCCATCCCACAGAAAGAATTGTTTCTCGACTTTGAAATCCAGCCTGACTTTACTCGTGCCTCTGGGATAAAACTTTACATTCAGAAATGGGTCACCCAGCCTGGGTTGAGTGTGCATTATTGTCCTCAGCTTGTTTATTTTGTCTCGGTTAAGAATCACATTACATTTACTTTCTCTCAACCTCTAACAACATGAACCCTAATGGTCTGAGTGCTGATTGGGAGGCTGCTGATAAACTGTCTTGGACCAGGTTGGTGCTGCTGACTGGAGTCCACCATGACTCTAAAATAAAGCCAGTTCTGCTGCTTTACATTTTGCCTGTAATTTTCCATCCACGCTTAGACGACTGATACTATGTAATAATGACATGCAGGGGACTGATGACTTAACCAGGAGATGGTAGTTTTCACATGGCAGTGAGTCATGCGAGGACATGACGTAGGAGAACATGCAGGTCTTTACTGTAGCCAAAATAGCAACTATGGGAAAAGCAAAGGATTCTTCGAACCGCTCTATAGTTATTTTATTATTCATACTTCCCTTTAACAAGAAGGAAGTATGGAATCTTACTTGCAATCATTCCCATTAACTCTGACATCCCCGAATACAATCCAGTGGAGCTAACTGATAATGGTTTAAATACCTTAAATGTAACATGCAGCATGACTTAATCAATCTGTTCAAAACACATCAATCACTTAATCAGATGAATTTAAAGTTACATAAATCCTCACTTCAACCCCAGTCAGCCTCGGCAGATGGCCGTTCAGACAGAGTCTGGTTCTACTGGAGTTTTCTTCCTGTTAAAAGGGAGTTTTTCGTCACCACTGTCGCTACAAGCATGCTTAGAGTGAGGGATTGCATGCAATCAACTGGTTTTCCTTAGATAGAAAACTTTGAATCATTTTGATTGTATGATCTGGTGAACTGTACTGTGCCTTGAGATGATATGTGTTGTGAATTGGCACTATAGAAATAAACTGAATTGAAATGAAACTGCATAGCTTAAAACGTGTTCAGAACACAGGAGCTTGCAATTTTAGCACATGCTAAAAAACATGAGCATAAATCTTGGTGATGATTATCCATTTTGGTGATAATCTGAATGAAAACATTTTTTAAAGGATTCTTTACCATTATTTGCTGGGAGAAAAAAAGCAATTCCCCTCTAAACCAGAGAGTGCTAAAACAAGAAGGCGAGTGAATGAAGAAGGTGAGAGCAGAAAATTTGGTAATGATCCAGATCATGAGCAAGTTTTAGCTCATGAGGTGTAAGTCAACTGTCCAATCGCTTTTCTAGCTTTAGGATTGGTTTTAAAATTTTATCGCTTGCTTTAAAGGTTTATAAGGCTTGGCCTTCATCATAACTTTGTATAACATTCTTAACTTTAACACTGCATTAAAAGCACTTAATCAATCAACTGATTTCATTGGAACTGCTTTCGTGTAAGGACTGCTTAGACAGCCAACAGTCTTAAATGGCGCTTTATGACCCATCTTCAGTCTTTGTGGGTTGTTTCTAGCAGTTTGTGATTCTATTAAACTAAAACTGTTAAAAAACAAACTATTTTATGATGCATTTCATGTCAATGATACATATTTTGAAGATCTTTACTTTTCCTTGTTGTTATTGTCATGTATTCAGTTTACTTGACTAAACTTTAATATAGTTTGGTCAACGTTTGTTGTTTTTGGTTGCTATATAGATAAACTCACATTGACATTTAGCAGTTCTAACTTCTGTTGGTTGAGCTGTTATGACTGCGCTGTCTAATTTCAAAACATCCAAAACAGTGTACAGTAAGCTTCACGGCAGTTAGTGACAAAAGGCTCCAATAAAATCAATGTTTTCAAACCAAACCTTGTTAAAAGATAAAACAAACTTTTAGCATGGCTATGGAATTTATTTTATTGCTTCAACATGCAGTGAGTTCAGGAGCATTTGTTTGTTTACTGTAAAAGTTAAAAACAAGATGAAAGTAGCAAGGAAATAAAAAGTAGACCTTTAACTCCTAACATTGAGACTATTACATTTAGGCCCTTAACGAAGTACAGTATCACACCCCTTAACAAGCTCTATTAATGAGTCTCCTTGCCAAATGATAATACATCAGAGAAACATTTATGTGGGCGCTCCCATGTGACGGAGTCCTTTATTTAAAACTTGTGGAGGAAAACCAACCCCTTTACATGAAGCATGGTGGTGGCAGCATTATGCTATGGGGATTTCTTTGCAAGGTGGTGTGCAGGCTATATGAATCATATTTTCTTTTCCTGCTACATTGTTTAGGATATCAAGCAACAGCTTTCTCTCTTTACATCATGTTCAAATTGGTTCTCTAGATTTCCCCCCATGTTTCAAAATATCATGACCCACAGCACACTAGAGATTTCCAACTTTAAATAAAGTAAACTGTGCAATGCAATGGCCATTACTTCTGCTTCTCTGATATGCACTTTTGAGATTAAATTAAATATTTTATAGCCACGACTTCCTGCAAGATATCAGTAACACATTGATTTGATACGGCTGCTGATAAAATCCATTATGGTTAACCCACATTTTTCTAAAAACTTTATCTTTTTTAATAAACTACAAATTCATCCCCATTTGCTGTTGGTTTGTAACAGTTTTGTAACGTCCCAGCCATTAGCTTCATTCACACGTGCATCTACTGATGAAACACATCAATTGATTATACAGCCCAAAAAAATACAATCTCGGGACAAATATTTGAAGTTATTCATCCTTTCGAAATGTGACTTGGCTCTACCCAAAGCACCTAATTTCTCCCTTAACACACACTGGTAAGAATAATGCTCTGCTGATACATATGCAAGACACTGCACATCACAAAATTAATCCAAGAATGTGGAGACATCTATAAGCTTCCACATAAGTCAGTTTATCCACCAAAGTTTTCCTTTAAGCCATTTTTAAATGCATTTCTAACCTCCATGTTTTACAATTACACCACAAATCTCATTAGCAGCTTCCACCTAAACTCGAACGCTACACAGATATTTACATAATGACTGCTTTATTGTTTCAACAACTATTTCACATTCAAAAACCATCTGTACTTTGGAGGCTCAATTAAAAATGACAAGAGCAGCAAAAATTGGTGATTAAAGTTCAAAAAGATGAGTGCTTACCTCATGCAAGTTTAACTCTTTGACTTTTTCCTTCTGGATGACCTAAAAGGGATACCAAAAGATAATGAGAAAACACCCACAGTACCACTTAATAGTTACAGAACATCTTTATTATAAACAGCAATCTAAGAGGTTTTGCTTAGAATAATTTAAAACCAGTCTCTAGTTTTTAAAGTAAAACATTCAGGTGTAAAGTACATTTAAAGACTTTATGAATTTTGTTTTTACAGGTCGAACTGAAGAGCTAAAACACGTGATGTTTTAACATCCTGCTCCTAATTATGCAAGAAGTTCGTTCAAATGGGATTCCTCTTACAGTACTTTAAACATCAGCTGGGATTTAGGTAAATGTTAAACCCTGTGAGGATAAGAGACATCTAGTGCATCCAGTTTTCTTTTTTTTTTATTGCAGTGGTATGTTGAATAACCTTTCCATCCTAAAAATAGAACAGTTCAAATATACCTTTAAAAGTCATTAATATTACATTGTGGGAATGATAAATGTACACCTCCCCCCAGGTAGGAATAGAGTGAACATGTGTGAAAATCTTACTTGTTTGTATGCATAAAGCTCTTTGTGTGCCTGGTGCCGTAACCTGGAAAGAAGTAAAAGACAAGCACCCTTCTGATTAGTTATTTCACTAATAAACATGGACATATATATCCATGCATCCTGCAAAGGAAGACAACAAAAATAAAGAGATGGACAAAACTGGCTTTGGCTGAAGAGAATCAATTATCCAATAATGTTGTCTTTCGTGTCAACAAGAAAAACATATCAGACCGAACATTTACACAAAAAATATACTTGGAAGAAAGAAAGCCAAAACAAGAAAAAGCAGAATAACTGTCTTGTTTTTTTTGTATGGTCCCTCTGTCAAATAATTAACTCCAGCCAAAATTAGCTTTCCCGACAGCTAACAGAGCTTTTATCAACCAAACACAGAAAAGGAGTAGAAGATCTCCTTAAACAAAGCTTAAGAAACTTCAGGGATTTATTCTACTGACGAACACAGCAGAAAGTCAAATTACACATAAACAGAAGATATTCTTAGAAGACTTTAAGCCTTCCTTTCTTTACAAAACACTGCACCTCAGGCAAAAACATTAATCAGAGCAGTTTTCCACAGCCGTTAGAAACTGGAAGGCTGTGCAGAAGAGTCTTGCACAGTTTCCAAGAAAATTATTACAGACACAAGTTGAGCTTTGAGTAAAAATATTTCAGAGAACAGTGAGAGAACATGATCAACATTAAATGAGAGGAAATTCTAAAAAAAAAACATACTTAAAAGGGAGTTTAAAAAATGCGGAAAAAGTGACGGGGGGGGGGTAAAAAGCAAAAGAGACAATAGAAATTCGTAGGTTTGTAAGATTTACCTCCATTATTAGTAACCTTAACCTCTCGCAGCAGAGTGAGAGGGATCTGTAAAACAAGCAGCACAGTCTAGGAGATAAACTGACATTTTGAAAGAAGTCAGCATGTAAAGGTGCAGAGACTCCCAATGGTTAGAGGGGTAAATAGGTCACTGGATCATAGATGGGGAATGTTTAACTTCCCTTAATGCAGTGGGAAGACAGAACGGGGTAAATAGACAGAACATGAATGGGACACTTCAAGGCATCCAGGTTGTGTAGTTTTTTTAAAAAGTACAACACCATTGGTAATTGAATCGCTTTGTTTTACCTTGGATAGATTTTAGTAGCACCAATAAATAAACCAGTGATCAATAGTGTAATTTACCTTCAGCCCAGACACCAAAACATCTATTTTTCCTATTTAATCCAACTTTTTAAGCCTGTAAATATATCAACAAACAAGTTATCTTCAACTACTTTTTTTAGGAAATGACAAAAAAAACTGTTCCATGTTTCGGACACAAGCTTCAATGGCTAAATGAGTATAATCTTCTTCCTTATTAGAAGGTATTAACCTGGTAATCCCATAATTTTCTGCTATAAGTGTATGAACAAATTAGGGAGATAAAATAGTTCCCATTTCCTTTAATGGTCAGTGTTATTAACTGTTTAATTAAAAGAAAAATAAGCTTGTTTGACATTTTTTAAATGGAAGATCTGATCTTATTTAACTGAAAGACAAGCTTAATGAACTAATCTTGGTATTTGAGACAGATTATATTAACCCGTTATAAGACTGGGGATGGAAAAGAATCATCAAGGTGTTCTAATATACCAAAGCCTGCCTTGAGATCTCATCACACCTCAATCAGCTAGTAGAAGCTTGATAGGTCTGCCTCGAATTTCTCTGTGGTGATATTCACTGATAGGATGTTTTAAGCAAAATGTTCTTGTGTGCATGGGGTCTTCACTACAACTAGTTTTGCCAGTGTTCTTGTCCGTTTATCTTTGCTGTAAAAATATAAGATTTTCTTTTATTACTGCAGCAAATATTAAGCCCTGAGATGCAAATTCCATTCAGTTCAATTACAAATATATACTTTAATTATCCCAAAGGGAAATTATATTGCTTAATATATATTTTTCTAACCTCAGAATTTATAAAGAGAAAAACAAGTCTAAATTGTCTAAAAGGGCATTTGGTATTGAGAGGGCATTCTGCATGCAGCTCCTTTAAGGGCTAGTCTTAATCCAAGTTGTGCTTTAAACATTTTTTATTTACTGAATAGGCTCTTATTGTTAAGGGTCCAAACTATTGCCAGATTGAGGGTTGAGACATTTCTGGTTAAAAATTGGATGGGCTAAGTTGTCTTTTTACTGTTTGTTTACATCACAATGATGCCCGTTTTTCTGTGGAAACGGATTCCAATCTAGAAGGATACAAAAACATCCTGGTTCCTGTTGTCGTGTAAACAGGAAAACTGAATCAGCTTGTATTGGAAAGCCCTGGCACATGCACAGCAGGTCCGTAATCAACAGAAATGAAGCGAGCAAGTTTCAAACATACAACCTACTAGTTTTCTTCACATGTCTTGTGCAGAAAAATCTCAACTAAAATGTAATTAGATTTATTAATTTACCTGGAACAATACTGTCCTAAAATGAACAGGACCTGTGGTAAAATATTTTATATTTTCTAAACCACATTTTAAATTTTAGCAAGAAAACACTGAATTGTATATCTAACGTAAATAATATTGTGCAAGTGTTTCTAGACCAATCGTTTGGGAGACTGCATCTTTAGAAGCCTTTAACAGAGCAAAAAATGCTCTTTATGCCTTTAGTAACTAAACTGATCTGGACGTTCAGTACTGAATGATGGAACTGCACCAAAGCTATAAAGCTTCTTATTCAACTGAAGATGAGAAATTGTAGGAGTAGTTATTTTACTTACCCTCTGCCCTGCAAGATAGGATAAGACACGATGGCGAGGGGAGAGTTTAAGGGGGGGAGGGACTGCTGCTTCTCACTGTCTCAAATAAAACAATGTAGTGCATTATTTGTGTTCAGTTTGCTACTGGCCGGAAAAACACCCTGTATTACCAGTACTGAGGATAATCTGATAACACACATTAGTTTATAAAGAGGGGCAAGGAAGTGACTAGTAAAGATTGCTTGCATTTTGAATGACTATATTGAGGATTACTCTCAAATCTTGCCGAATTAGAAGAAGCTTTCAGTCAATAAAATTAAAACAGTAAAAGTGCAACATTTCAAATCATTATAAAAATCACACATATACAGACTAAATAAAGGTAAAGCTGAAAAAGGTTAGCCGACTCTTCCAGAAATCTAAATCTTATTAACAATAATCAATAAGCAATAATCCTAGAAAACAATAATCCCACTATTTTAACTGTTCACGATACGAGACACAAGAAATAAATCAACAATTTTACTATGAGGGGAACCTTCTCCAAACTGTGCTGTTTTAGAAAAAAAAGGGGAGAAAAAAAACATTTTATAGAGGAAGACAAAAATAGGAGCTGTGGAAAGTGCCATACAGTGTGGCGGTAACAACATTTCTATACAACTCAATGGCTTTCATAAGGTGTAAAAATATCTCATTTGAAAGCTGCCATTAATGCTTTCTGTTTTGTACAAAGAATTGTCAATTTAAACAAGTAATGTGGTAAGAAAAATTATTAAAATGAAAAACAATGCTTCAGGGACCCAAATCCCCCAATAGGACAGACATCTGGTACACTGAATAAAAATGATGTTCTTATTATGGAAGTAACAGTAAATTCAACACATTAGATGACACTAGAAGCAAAAACAGGGTCAATGAAAAAGACACAAATTTCTAGCAGCTTTTTTAGGACTAAGAACTACAAATTTTTATGAATAAATTAAAAGTGTTCACACAAAAAAAAAAAAACTAATGATTGAAAGGAACTGTAATCAGTTCAAAACATTCAACCCAGGTTTGTCTAGTTTATTATTTATTTTGTTTTATAGAATTGTCTAATTTAAAGCCTTTTTTTTTTATCCCAGAAAACATTGAATTACTATTCATCTAATATTAACTCTATTTTCCAATTAGAGTAGTGGTTTCATAACCCCAATACTAACAAAAATAGATAAATGTCAAACTGTATTACAGACTCAGTGTAGTAGTCAAAGCCTTTTAGATTTTAAGCTAGAGATGATTGACAGCTCCCAGTCTCATTAAAAATGGTTAATAACCTTTATTTTCAGACCAACAGGAAGTGCTAAAGGAAATGCTATAATTAGCATTGTTAGGAGCTGGTCAGTATTACCACACTGCTTAAAAAAACTGTTTTATTTTTTGTTAAAGCAGATAAATCAAATGCATATGTGTAACCTTTTCACCTTATTTTAGATTTGCTGCTCTCAGGGAAGCTGCAAAGCTAAGAAAATGACACTTTTTTTACACCGACCCGTAACAAACCCATCAAAGAAATCTAGTTCTACTCAAATCCAAAGCAAAAAGGAGCACAGCTCTTACCTGATCAGGTAGCAGCAGAAGAGGAGGCTGAGGATGAAGACAAAGATGGCCGTCCCAAACACCACAATGTAGATATTAAGAGGAAGGTTCTGGAACCCTATATTTGGCATCTTGAAACTGTAGTGTGGGAAATCGGAGCTCATGAATATTCTGGATGGAGAGAAACATAGGACAGGCAATACATCAGTACTATAATATGTCTGAACTAATTGGCACAACTTTTATTTATTTCATAGTTCTATATACAGTATTCTTCTAAAGGTAGTGATTTAGAGGAAATTTAAAAAGCAGTCTATTTGTCCGTGTAGCCTGATGCATCTTATCTTTCCATAACAGAGATGTCTGGTACTATCAGATGCTAATAAATACATCTATTAACAAACATGTTTTGAAATTAACAGAGTGTGGTTGATGCTCCAGCCCTCATCAGAACTAGTTACTCATGTGGCCCTTTAGGAAAATTAATTAAATCTGATTTACTGAATGTAAAAGCTCCCATTCAATTAAACAATCTAAATCCAATCTAAATGTTACAAACATAAAGCTAAGTGATAAGGTGTTGAGAATATGAAACCTAATTACAGCGATACACAATACATTCAACAGGACAGACATTATCCTAATGGATTAAAAGAGACTCAGGATTTACAGCAGCGGAGATGAAAGTTGTGGCCAAACTAACATAACACAAACTTGAACTCCACTTAACACTAAAAGCTCATTTGCGATGAAAACCATTTTGCACAAACTCTTTAAACTAGAAGAAAAATAAGTTTTCTATCTTTTTTTTTTGCAAAATACAACCTGTATTTTCTCTTATACAGCTTAAAAAAAACGTTTAGTCATTTAATGTAACTTTACGGTTACATCTGTGCTGCTCAGACATGAAGACACAATGTGAAGAAAATTCTAAAAGTGGATCACTCCTAAAAGGTGAGGTAAATATATTGAAATTAGTTGTATATTGTTAGTTTAATCAAATCTAATCAATAAAATGCAATAAGCCAAATTCATCTAAGTAACACCACACCAATAGCAGTCTGTTGGCCAAGTCCCCCCACTCCAAAGGAGCATGACTAGACATGTCCACACCTACACATAAAAGGGACCATGGAAGAAGAGGAGGGGAGCATGACAGGAATAGCTTTCTCCTTTAGGGACGCCGTGTTGGTTCCCACCCCTCAAACAGATTCACCCTCTGTAACTCCTCCTGTGGAAAGTTTTGCTGGGGACCAATCCTCCTGGATAACTATAAACTCACACAAATACGCTCTCAGTTATACAACATTAGGATAACCTTAGCTATACTCAGTCCTTACATAAGAGTATAAAGATTCCACCTCCCCACAAAGAGATGCTTACCTATTTAAAGCCGGATGCAAAGGGTGTATTCCTACTTCTAATGTATTAGATCAGGGTGTCACTCAGTGAGGAACCTCTTGGTTTTCCTGATAAATGTTTAAATATCTTTCCAGCTTGGCTCAATTTTACAAATGACTCCAGTAAACAAGCATGCAGGAAGGGAGGTTTAATGAGGACATGAGGGGCCGGTCAGCTTGTGCTTAGCAAACTTCCTTCACTGCATAAAAACTGAAAGTAAACTACTCAGTCCAGTCTTCATCATCATCATGCTCACTAGTTTCAGTTGCTAGAAGGGGATTTCACTCACAGACCACTTAGCAGAGAGATAAGGCCGCTATGTTATATATATGTAGCGGAGCCAACAGGGGTACTACAAAAAACATCCAATAGGAGAGAGACTGGCTGTCTGGTTAAAGATAATTTCGTATTCAAGATTGTAGACCTAGCTTTTTGGAGTTTGTGTCTGAATAATACCTAGAAGAATTCAATACTTCCCTCTTCCACCAAATGCTGCACACGGCTGGCCTCAACAAGGCTACTAAACTTTTCCTTTGCAGCAAATAGGACAAAGTCAAACACAACCCATAACAAACAGTCATGGGTTAAAAGCTCTGGAAGAAAAGCGAACGAGAATCTCTAGATAAAATCAACGTTAGGTGATGGCAAGTAGGCCTTCCAAACCACATAATCCTCACTAAGGATAACTTGTTGAAAAGTGAGAAAGCTCATAAAATGGGGTTGAAGGCTTCAATCCCAATGGAGATTATTCAGCTGATCGTAGATCGTACGATCGTAGATAACGTAGTCAATAAAAATAGATGAAACAAAGGTCAATATGCATATTTCTTACATTCACACCGAACGCAAATTTCACAGCTGGAGCAAAGGAGTTCCATGTCATCTCTACTGTACATGGAAGGGTGAATCTGGAGCAAAGCAAAGTGAGCAAGGCTGAACTAGGCGACAGTTGCAAATCATGGAGTCGAACTTCATGATATTGGCGAAGTTGCCGACATTTGATTGCCACCTTAACTGCAAATAAAGTTGAAAAAAATAAATAAACTTTTCTTTACATTTGCGTCGCAATATCCAGTCAGGGACTAGATGTGGCTATAAGCTACATTAAAGGAGCGCAGCGTAGGTGAGCTTCTCTTAATTAGAAATGGAAAATAGAAAAAGGGACAAAGCAGATATGCTGTTAAGAGATTAAGGTGGCTTTTAAAAAAGCCCTAGAAGGGCTGTTTCTGTTTCCAGCGCAGACAAATGCCTTATTTTCCCAGCTTTGCTTATCCACCCTGGTTCTCCTTTCATCTCCCGCAGTTAGTCTAGAGGCTAGATCCAGCTGCCAGAAGCCTTTCCTACCTCTGCCTTCATGGCTGGCTTCTCCGATGTAGCACTGTCCTACTTCTGGGCAGCTGTAGTCTCCAGTGCCTTCAGTATTGTGCCTTCAGGTACTTGTGTCTTGTCGGTGTGCTCCTCTATAGCTTTGGATCATCGCAGGTAACTTCTATAGCTAGCCTGAAACCTTGGCTCTGCCTTTCATCCCCGCTCTAGTGCGCTGACACCAGGAGGGATCCTCCGATCTCCCGCTATGGTTCGTTAGTTCTAGATGGTGACATGGCTTGTAGCCTGGTCCTGGATCGGGATAACTTTTGCTCTCACTCTGATTTCCTGCTGCTCTTGTCTGAACTCCAGAATGCCGTCTCACCTAACCCTCTGTTGTCCAGGTGATTTGTCCTCCAATGTGGGACAGCAGGGACCCGAATTGGATCACAGACAGGCGAACGTAACGTCGTAAACAACTCATCTATACGCAGATCCTGGAGGAGGGGCTGTTAGTCCCCATACATATTACGCCTCTGGAGAGAAAACCATGAACCCAGCGACGATGGCAGTTTTGTTCGGCTTTCTAAAGTACAAAAACACTGCAATTTGCTTCAAATAATCAATGTCCTCAATTCCTCTGCTTTCTCTGGCCAGGCGGATTTCAAGATGAGAAAAAGCAGACACAAATTTTGCAGTTCGCGTTCGGTGTAAACGCACCTTGAGACTGTTGTGTCATCTTTTCAAGGGAAGCCCATCTCACTTCCAGTCAGAAACCAACGTCCTCAGTTGTAATACAATAACTTTAAATTTACTAGGTTATGTAATAATTTTAAGTTAAACAGTGATACCATGAATCTGCTGGATTTTTGGGAACATTTCCTGAACACAAACATGACAAACACCTCTGAGAAACTACTATTCTACGAATAGACTAAAACACTGATGAAGATCATCATGACTTGATAAGACGTGTCTATTCATGCAGATCACAGATTCATGCACATATCATTTATTTGAAGTACACATACCCAAGTGGTGCCTTCATGCTGAAGAGCAGAAAAGTCTGCAGAGACTTGCAGCACAGGCCTCTGTAAAATGACATAACGTGTTGTTGAGAAAGAAAAAGGTAAGTTTGCCTGCTGGTAAGATGTTTGGACCACTGCATTTATTTGCCACTTTCATAACTAAGCTCAGGCTGAACCTGGCCCCTTTACCGAGTCCTATTGGTGTCTCAAACTGATGATGGATGCAGCTACCTCCCCCTCCCCACTTATCAACATGCTGAATGCTCTCCAGATAAAAACATCTCAGTCAACAGATGCACTGTATGACTAATAATACTCCTTGGTATCTTTTCACATTTTCTCACAAACCTCAACATGAGAGGGATTGTGATATGGATTTAACACAACACAAAGTCGTTACAAGTGACATGGAGGATATACCAAACCAAGCATTTACTTTTTTTTTACCTAGATACAAAGTGCTGCGTGACAGAGAACCAATACTATACATCATACACAATGGTGAATTCTTTGTGCCAAACATCCACTTTATGAAGATTTTGCTGACTAAGAAGATCTTGGGAGAACCAAGGAATCCAAAAATCCAATTTTACTTCCAGTCACCCAAATGTTCAGCCTGTATGAACATGAGTGCATTCACGCAGGTAATGAATGCATTAGGGCTGCAACAACGAATCGATAAAATCGATAAAAATCGACTTTTAAAAGCGTTGGCAACGAATTTAATCATCGATTATTTGTGTCGCGCGATTAATGCGTCATCCGCCGCCGCCGTCATCCGGGGGAAGAAAAAAAAATATGGCGGAGCGAGTCAGCGCCGCAGTTGCAGTGTTGCCAACTCAGCGACTTTTCAGACCCCTCCAGCGACTATTTTTCAAAAAAGCGACTAGCGACAAATCTGGCAACTTTTTACGGTGTCACTGGCGGCTTTTGCCTGCCGTGGGGCGCCTCCCCCATCCCAACGCCTTTCTCCCTCTCCCACAGGAATCCCTCTCAGCGCGGCAGTCAGAGTCAGAGCCGCAGGATTTTAGTGAGGAGTTTACCCTCAGTGTCCAGACTGCAAATGAAGCGCGCATGCGCCGGGATTGACGGCGCAAATTGATCACAATAATTAAAATAGCCTGCGCTATGTAAAGTGAAAAAAGTCGTAACATGCAACTTTTGTAAAAACAAATGAACATGGCACGGAAGCACCACTGTTATGACGCAGCACCTGAAAAGAAAACACGTTGGAGCCTTCAGTGGCAGTGAAGAGAGCTGATCAGCAGGATGAGTAACCATGTTTGTTTCATTTTAAAGAGGGGAAACGTAACGTTAGTTTCTCAGGTAGTTCATCTGATGCTTTCCTTACCTTGTTAGTAGGTTACAGACAGTGATAAGGTTGGCTACTTATTTTACTTTTAATTTCATTAAAATTTGTTTAAGCAGCGTTTATATTTTCTTTATAAATAAATTAACTTGCAAATTATGAGGGCAAGGCTTTTAAAGTTTAAATCTTCTGGCAAAGATAAAGAAAAGAAGATCCTGCAATTTATGGAAGTAAAGCAGAATAAAATCCAGCAAGATCAGTAATATGTCAATTAATTATTACCACATTTCCATGTAAATATCTGTCTTTGGAGGATGTGTTTTTTTTACCACCCCTAGTTCTCTCATTTTTATTCCAAATACAATTTATAATTTGAATCACAGGGCTATTTTTATCTCTATGGTTCAGTATTTTCTCAAGCAGCAACTTTAACTGCTATACTTTCCTGTCTTAAAAGGCAGAACTCTTCTAGTCTAAAAAAAACTCATTTGTTGAAATGGGGGGACCTATTGTTTGAACCCCTTTGGGGCTTTTAAAAACAAAAATGCCTGTCTCTTTTTGCGCTTTATGAAACAAAGTAGCCTATATTTTGTGGATGTACAGCTACATTTCTCATGTAAGTTTGCGTAGTTTTTACACAAACATTTATTTTTCATATTGCACCAGTACAGTTAATGAGCAACCTGTACTTGTGTGCTTGTTTGTTCTGTCTAAAATGTTTATTTTGGAATAAAGAGGTTAATATAAAAAAAATTTTTTGTCCGATTCATAGATTAATCGAAAAAGTAATCGGCCGATTCATCGATTTTTAAAATAATCGTTAGTTGCAGCCCTAGAATGCATGCACAAACCAAATGAGTTAGGAGAGAAGCACATGGGTGTGTTTTTCATGCAGGCATCCAGTGATGACTCAGTGGCTTTTTAACAAGTTATTCTGAATAACTTCCGGCATTATCCAAGCAACAAGTGAGGCGTGATGTCTTTGTTGGGTGACAGACCTTAAACTACTTCAAACAAACCAAATGAAGTTCTTCTGACATACTGGTTTTACTTGGCAACTACAATCACATTGTTTTCCTGAAATTCTATAATTCCCAAGTGCAGCAATGTGTACTACGTCTAAAAATATCTATATACCAATATGATCCAACTCTAATGGAAGCTGCAAAATGGTTAGTTTCCCATTCAGCTCTCAATGTGACATAACTCAAAACACAACAGCCTAAGTCTGATGGCTGGTATGGGACAGACATGAATCAGGTTTGCTTTGTGCTTCCGACTCTCCTAACAATAAACTCTTCCCGCTCGCTCAGTTACTTTCACATGGCCTCACCCAGTTACATAACCAGCAACAAGACTAAGCGCTGCTCATCACATTCTTGGGAAGTGAAAGTTTTTTTTTTTTTTTACACTCCTTTCTATTATTCTCAAAATAGACGACACATGTTGGTTTAATGTGAGGGTATACTACAGAAATAACTCAAGAGTTTAGGGAATTATCATATATCCACAATATATGTAGAATCAAATAAAGTAATTAAAAGGCCGAAGTGATAGCTTTTTCTGCTATAGATAAGGCTTTTAAAGCAAAAGCACATTTTAATCATTTATAATTTCAGTTTTACTTTCTCTAAATGTGTGACTAATATATCAACAAGTAGTTTAAGGGAAACAAACAAAGCAGATTTAAATAAAACATTATTCAGCTTCCATGCATATTTTGACATAATCTTTATTATTTATTGTCCCGATCTAAGCTACACTATTTTTCCAGCTGCATAAACCAACCAATTCTTTGCAAGTTCAACTTTTTCTTGTAAACAGGGCATTTACCAGATTATTTTGGTATAGTGAAGCACCGTAAAACCATCTTGGCAATATGGGAACTTCTAACTTCCTCTGGAAAAATCCCAGACAAAAGCTAATACCAAGCCTTCATGTTCCACTCTAATCGATCTATGAGTTCAATCTATTTTAGATATTGTAAGTGAAGTCCGTACTCAGTTAAAAAGTAAAAAAAAAAAGGAAATCACAGTACAAAACAAATGAGCTGGAAAATAACATCCCCTCCACACAAACAAAAAACTCTGGCCGATCAATACTACAGTGCGGATGCATAAGTAAGACCAGAGGTCAACACCTTGCAGCACTCTCATTTTGGTCAAAAAAAACAATAACTGTAAGTTTATTTCCATTGTTTAAATTCCTAAGTTTATTTTGATATGATGCTACTTTAAACCAATAACAATCACTTATTATTAATAATAACCAATTATTTATTTGGTCCCCCCTAAATAATTAATTCCAGTGCATCAGTTTAAAAATATTGCATTTCCAGTCTTTATTAAACACTAACATTTTAAAGGAGCCAAAACCTGGTATTTTACAACCCTTCAGGGGTCGGAAAATAAAGCTCTCCAATGCGACAACATTTTCATTTGGCGAGTTAATCCCAAAGCACCATTCACCATTGTCCGGTCTCCCACACAATGTGTAAAAAAGTATGCTTAATGCTCACCTACCAATGTTTGGTGTCAGCAAATCAGGGTGACAAGTGACATAGCAGCAGACTACATGAGAAACCACAACAGCTTATGCTTTTTGCTCTTGTTCCACTTTCTAGAATGAAAGTGGGGATTCTGGGAAAACAGATGTGATAGCAGCAAATACTGAGCTGCTGTGTTTATTTAGGTTTGGCTGTGGGCTTGGAAGATCTTGCTTTCGTCATAGCTATATCAAATGTACCACCTTAAAACCAAATACTAAAGTGACCCATTTTGGATTAGTCTCGGACAGTTGAAGCAGGAGAAAATGGATTCTTGTGAGTTCGGTAACTCACAAATAGCATTAGAAATCAGCTTGAACGCAAGCTTATTGCTTAACAGTGCTGCGGGATAACATCACCCTACTTCTAACCATTAACAACTGTTAATACTGTTAGTTGTGGTGAAACTTTTAAGAGGTTGCCAAACAAAATGACTCCAATAGTACATTGAAGCCTTCTTCAGGCGGTCATAAAGAAGCCAGAAGAACATCTAAGGCAATGTAGACCTAACATGTTTCAGTTAATGTCAGTTTTTTCATATTTTAAAAATAAGGAGAATGGACAAAGGCATTACCAGGAGGGACTGGTGTTATTGTAAAAGCTATAGCTGATAAAAAAATGATTGATGATTTTTTTTGGTCAGCTATAGTATAGGAAACAACTTTAGACTGATGAGTCAAATATTTCACTTCTTGGAAAGTGTGCCTTCTGTTACATCTGGCATTAAACAGAACAGTACAGTGTTTCAGAAAACAAAGGCAGAGTTAAACGTGGTGTTGGAAGGGTGATTGTCCGGGACTGCCTATTGATTTTAAGACCGAACTTCTTCAATTCTGCTGTCCAGTAGAAGACCTTGGGGGACTGCTTGGTCATTGGTGGCCTTAAGCTCAAGTCCGCTTATATAACAGGACTAAAACGCAACAAATAAAACAACGAAGGCTTTTGACTGAATTAGTCTAAATCTAGGTTTATATCAAATGAGATGCTCTGCCATTACTTCAGACAAAACCTGTCAAAAAGTTATGTATCTGTTACCCTTAAAACTAGGTCCTTCTGGCTAGAATTTTATTCCCAATAAATTAAATCATATTTACTCAGGTAACAAGAAATTTGGAAGGGGCAAATACTTCTACACTGAATTTAGTCAGTGCTAAATTCCCAAACCTCCAACGCTGGGTTATCTGTCTCACAAATATTTCGTCCAGCTCC